CCACAGAGAAAACTAAGTATATGTTGCTGCTGTCTCATCACCAAAAAGCAGGGCAAAATCATGACATAAAGATAGGTAACAGATGTTTTGAAAATGTGGAACAGTTCATATATTTGGGAACAATGATAACAAATCAAAACCTGATTGAAGAGGAAATTAAGAGGAGACTGAATTCGAGTAATGCTTGCTACCATTCAGTCCAGAACTTTTTGTCTTCTCATCTGCTGTTCAAAACCATAAAAATTATAACATAGAAAACTATAATTTTGCCTGTGGTTTCATACGGATGTGAAACTTGGTCTCTGACATTAAGGGAGGAACACAGACTGAGAGTTTTTCAGGATAAGAGTGTTGAGAATATTTGGACTGAAGAGAGAGGAAGTGACAGGAGGTTGGAGAAAATTGCATAATGAGGAGTTTAATAACTTGTACTCTTCTCCAAATATAATCAGACGATCAAGTCAAGGAGGATTAGATGGGCAGGGCATGCAGCACAAATGGGGAAAAGAGGAATGCATATAGTATATTGGTGGGAAAGCCAGATGGAAAGAGATCACTGGGAAGACCAAGGCACAGGTGGGTGGAGAATATTAAAATGGTTCTTAGAGAGACAGGAAGGGATGGTATGGATTGGATTGATCCAGCTCTGTATAGGGACCAGTGGAGGGCTCTTGTGAACATGGTAATAAACCTTTGGGTTCCATAAAATGCTGGGAAATTCTTGAGTAGCTGCATAATTGGAGACTTCTCAAGAAGGGCTAAGCTCCATGAATGAATGATTCCAAATAACATTTGGCGATGATTACAAAGCACAAAGTTCCTTACTGTGCAGTTTTCTCCACAAGACTACTACTTCCTCCCTCATAGATCCATAGTCTCCTCAGTGTCTTGTTCTCAAACTCATTTGTGTTTCTCCCTTAATATGAAAAGACTAAGTTTCACACCAAAATGTAATCTGTTCTCAATGTTTACATATGTTAAAATCAGACTTGTCACATTCGTTCTCAAATGAATTTCCTAAGCTATTTACTGGGTATTATGAGGGTACCTCATTAACTGTATATACAACTGACTTCCAATTATCTGGGGTGGATGGGACATGAATTTCCCAGGATAACTAACTTGTGAAATGGAATGTATAAGACACATACATTTATATGTGCATTTTGCTTGAAATGTGTGTTGTATGTATAAAGTTCATATGCTGCCTTCACATATAATAAACAAAGAACACCTCACATTCCCAAAAGTACACAGTCGAAAGCAAAATAAAATTCCCTGCATTCTGCACTAGTTCCTTTTTGAATTACAACTACATGCTACTTTATAACATTGGGCACATGGATCGGTTTTCTACACAATGTTTCCAGATAATTGGGAGTCTACTGTACCAAAAAAACAGTTATTTCAAATACTATCAGAGATATTCCTACCCAATGTCCTCGTCATAAGCAAGTTGGACCACTTTAATCTGTGTTCCCCTTGTCACAGGCTAGCAGTCTCCCAGTTTCACAAACATAGCTTGCATCACAATGTTTCTAGACTCAGTGTGCCATCTATTGGGGATCTATTTTCCATCTGGTTCTCATAAGCGAACTCCTAAAATGCGTACTGTCTTGTAGATGGTTATAATGTTGTAACACTTCCCTATACGACTGAACTTTTCAGACACCCTTCACATTTAGCATCAGCACAGAACCAGGTCTTTCTTTCTCATTTTCCAGATTACTTCCCCTGGAATTAAGAACGCAGTCAATGAATGCCTGGATACAACCACGGAACTGAAGATCATGTATCAGGCTGCAAATTTTATTGATCAGGTCTTTTTGCTCTTCACATATGATACAAACTTCATAACCTGTCTGGACTATGTGGCCAGACCACAAATGTATCATCTACATGCTGAAGCCATGGTGACAGTGTGTGTTGCATCACATAAGAATCTCAGATTGGCCCCTGACGATGATACCCATAATCAGGTGGGGGTGAGAGAGAATTATGTATTGGACATCAGAAAATTTCAGGGACTGAGTAAGCCATGAAAGATGGTTCAGGTTCAATAGGCAAGAGGTTTCATTCAGAGAAATATCAAGCTAAGCTTTGGTGATTCTCAACAAGATCATACAGGATTACAAGAGGGGACACAACACACTTGAATCCATAACTGTTATTAATCACTAAGCAATATTTCTGACACTCGCAGACATAAACATTCGCACTATTAGATATATATACAGAGCTGCCACTACAATTATGTCTGCTAGTAACATAAGCTAAAGTACCGATGCAATTTAATTTGACTACTTAGGGGCATTTTAATTAAAATATTTACTTAGTTAAACTACTGGGTGCAACTCAGCAAATTTCTAGTTAGGTATCCTCACGTATGTATATTACTACTGACTGAAAGACAGCTAGTGACCAAATGAAGTGATTAAATGCTATGATTGAAATGATGTGCAATAAACTGACAACAAGCTAGTCTGTTAACAGTTAATGCTCAAAATGGTGCATATGAACACCAGTGCTCAAAAGATTCATGTCACCAAGTTGTGAGCTATTCTATAACTTCAGCCAGGTGGCTCAGCACATTCTAAATTGAATTTGGAGCTCCTGGATGGCTATTTGCTAGAACACACATCTTTCATATCACTGCATGGTCTTGAACTTCAGAGCTGCCAAGAGGAACAAAAACTGTACTCCTTTGAATCAGACGTTAAACTTGCCCCTTCTGACAACCAACAACTGACCATGTTGAAAACAAACATTAGCACAATATGTAGTGACCATGTTAGGTGGGTCCCTTGTCACTACAGCACGGTGCGTCCTCAGGTTGCAGATGGAGGAGACACCCTCCAGATACGGTGGAAAGCTGCTAATATATTGAATAAGCAGTTGCAGACAGCAGACAAGGGGTGGTCCTCCAGTCTGAGGGTTGGGCATGGGGCTAACAACTCCTCACCATAAAAAATAAGCTTCTTATGAAAATGTTCAAGAAGCCTCAGACCTGGATAGATTCTGTGGATAAACAACCTAAGCAAAAGAAAATGGATATGAGATCTGGTACATCGAAAGTTGGAAGTATGTATAAGGCAGGTTTGCTCAGGGCAGTGGAAGGAAAAATCTCATAATATACGCTAGATTTAGTGGGAGTACAGGAGGTCAAATGGGACAGTGGCACCGAACCAGCAGGCAAACATACATTTTTCTATGGAAAGGGGAATAAAAGTCATGAATTATGTACACGTTTTTCGTACGTAAGACAATCACATCAGCAGTTAAGAGGGTAGAGTTCGTTAGTGACAGGATCATACGATATACATAATACTAAGAGGTTGCTGGTGTGGTATCATCATTCTGAATGTTCACTCCCGAACAGAAGATAAAATTTATCATATAAAGGGCAGGTTCTATGAAGAACTAGAACATGTATTTCATGAGTGAGTGAGGACAATAATGAATTCATACAGCCACTAGTTACATCTTTCCATTAATTGTGAGTTACTAAAAATTAATGATCCAGATTTCTTTGCCACCTTAGGACAACTCAGGAATCACAGTACAACTGCCCTATCACAGTTTGCCTTCAAACACTGCATGATTTAAGTTATTATGTGGCACCATGATGATAAATATCAGCACACTGTCAACAGGAAGACTGTGAGTTCGAGTACATATAGTTTTCAGTAAGACTGCAACAATGAAGTAGTGATTTCATTATTTCAGTACATTTTACTTTAAGAAAAATCTGGGTGAAGAATAGGCCTTCATGTTAGAAATAATATACTGGCAATATCAGCTGATGACAGTTGCTGTGCGGTCTAAGGCATGGAATGTATCCACCCGCTCAAACACTGGGATCGTGGGTTCAAATCTCACTTAAGGCATGGATGTCTGTCTACATTTGATCTGGCTGTGTTGTTCCATGTAGGTAACAGCCTTACAATTGGGTTACTCCCCTGTCCAAGGAGTCCTACCAAATGCCTAAAAAAATTCACAATTTCGCAATTAATTCTGAACAGGAACAGGCCAGACAGCCAAATCCATCAAGGTGGCAAAAGAAAGGCAAAATCCAATTACACTGAATTTAATCAGGCAACGTTATTTACAGAACCACAATCTAATGAAACAATTTTATATCAACACGAATATCTCTATTATCGAAAGACACTGACAACCGAAAGATCAACCCTTCACACAGAGACATAATAAGCCAAGTTATAACACTCTAAAGGTTTGTGACAGTGGTCTGTTAATAATTACCAAATTATGTTCCAAATTGTCCACTCTCTTAGTCACATAGTATAACTTATATGGTGTTTCGGAAGCTGTATCTGCTTCCCTCAGAAAGTGTAGAGGAAATTATCCTGCTCAGCTGGGCCCCTTAGACAGAGCTAGTTTTGATCACTGGACTTGCAACATCGCTCTTGCAACATCCAAAAGAGACTCTTGTTTTGGAGCAACAGCAAACTTCATCCACTTGCCTAGTGCAGTATGTTCTCCTAATATCATACCCATCATTTTCAAGGGTGTATGATGGTGACTGGTTTTCTTGTCTTTGCTTGATCTTTGGGCTTGTTGTTGATTAGGTGTTGGACCCTTCATTTCTGCGTGTCCTTATGTTTGTTGTGAGTTTTTTGATAATTTCTATCAATCAGTATATCTTGCAATACATAAGAAGTCACAATTACTCACCTGCTCTCTTAGTGCCAATTCAGATTCTGATATGCTAGTCATTTGTTTGCAATTCTGAAACCTGTGAAAGTTTATGTTCCCTTCACAACATTTCTATAGCTTGAGTCATGACTTTCAGGACCCACTGACTCTGAAATGGCACCTTGAAACCCCCACCAATAGAAAGAAGCTCTATTTAACAGGCCAACTGAGTAAGAGCCATTCCTTTTTTGTACCTGATGATGGAAGCAGATCCAGTTTCCGAAACGCTGTACAATTTAAATATCACAATGCCCAACATAATAAGTTTATAATGAAAAGTCAAGTTAAATGACAAAATATTTTATTTTATCGTTATTTCATGTCAAATACACTCAAACAGAGTTAGTCCTGATGACTGCTGCTACATAACTGTTCAAAATAGCCTTCCATGTTTAAAAAATAATACACATAAATAAACACTATTATCTTACTTTACTGTTCATTATTCTCAGACTCGTTGCAGCTACAGTCATCACCTGAGTCACTGAAAGTTTCTTCATCAGTATTACACACAAGATATTTGGGTTGAACTGTAGCAGCCCCAACAATCAAAGTCTTAACCTGTTCTGCTCTAAAGTCAGGGATTTCAGCATTACTTGAAGGTACCAAACTAGAACCTGACTTCAATGAACTATATGTTTTCCCTCTTCCAAATCTTGGCAAAGGCCAGTTCTCTTCTGGTTTCATTACTAATGAAATGAAAGGATCATCACTCACAACATTACTGCCAACTTCCACAGTTTCTGGTGCAGAACCAACAATCTTCCCTTCACCTGATTGTTCCCCTTGGCTGACATACCCACCTGCTGTTTCTGACTCCTCTCCATTGATCTCCTGCACAATGTCATGCTCACAGTCAAACTGCAAAGCAATGCCTGATGATTCCACATCACCTCTATCTTCAATATTTGCCATTCTTGCACTTCGTAAAACTTTGTTCTTCAGTGCCTTGGCTTCTCTCTTTTCCCATTCCTGTGACTTATGAACAAGAACTGTCTTCAATTCCAATAGCATTCTAGCAGAACACTCCTTTGTCATCTGACGTTTAACTTGATCTATAGCATCCAGAGTCACAGAACTATCACCCTCATCTTCAGACCCAGAGCCCAGGTTATCATGACTGATTACTGCTTCAAAAACTTCATCTTCTACTTGGGGATCTAAATCAGTAAACCCTACTTCAATAGGCTCTTGTGTTTGTTTACTGCTATTCTCAGTCAACAGGTCAGAAGTTTTGGGGGTTGAATGTGGTATAGCTGGTTGATTCAGTATTGTAAGCTGATTTACTGCTACCTCAAGACAACTCTTACAAGAACAAATTTCTGTGATAACATCTGTCAGCACATTTGTCACATTTTTAGAAAGTGTATCAATATCAGCAACTTCAGTTTCATCAGTCTGAGTTTCTAGTAATTCCTCCATCTCCTTTGTTCTATGCAGCATGCCTTGTAGATGTAAGCGTGCACTGTGTATTCCAACATAAGCACCATAATATCTCCAAGAATTCCTTTTAGGTATTTTTGAATAATATTCATTAATAGCATTTAAACCATAGCAACTAAAGTATTTATAATCCTGATTCAAATTACTAAAACATTCAGAGCATTTAGCAGACACATCAATTACAAGAGTGGAAACTGGCAGTATATTCTGTCCCATATTTTTCCAAAACTTCATTAGAAAACAGAGGGCTAGACGCCTAAGGAATTCTGATTGAAGAAGAACATAAACTTGGTGCAGTTTCTGAAAACAGAGATACAGCCATGAAGTTATCACAGCTGGCTACATTCACCCATCACTTGTACAGAACATGCTAGTAGTGCTGTTCAGCTGTGTAATTATTTATCAATTAATCACAAACTCACTAATAAACATTGGATAGTAATTAGTTGGTTCAAAAAATGAGATGTTTCAACTATTATGTAGTTACTCTCAGGTAGTTACACGTGTTGTATGTTCTTTTTTGTGAATTGATAAACTGTTGAGATTATTGAGTTTCTGGTCTTTGTCTATAATCCAATATTTTAAAGAACACAAAGTTGATTCTTTAGCATACTAAGCAAATGGGGGGGGGGAACCACAAATTCAGCATCACCAAATACTTCATATAAAATTATCAGAACTCTTTATATATATTGTGGCATATTGGCTCTATGCAGGAACTGTTGAGCCACAGAGGCCTCGGGGAATGCGTACAACGTGAGAGTTTCGGATCATATTTGCACATTCCTAGGCGACAACTCTGTGAAGGCTTGGATGGCACAACAGGAAGTGAGAGTGACGTCACATACCCACACTCATCCCGTTGCTGTGCAGCGTTTGGTAAACCCCCTCCTCAATAGGGCGTCCATTGCTAGGCAATGCATGAGTAGACATACCTGATACCTGTTGCCGAGCAGCAATGTGTTTTCTATGTGGTCCATGCCGAGCCTATATAAGGAGCAGCGAACACTTTTCCAAATAAGTATTGATGTTCCCTCTGAAGATGATCTGTAAGTGTGTGTGTGTGTGTGTGTGTGTGTCTCTCTCTCTCTCTCTCTCTCTCAAGTCTCAATTCTGAGATAGTAAATTATGGTCGCGAGTCCCAAGGGACTCGGACCTGAGAAAGACTGCGCTGGCAAGAGCCAGCAGCATATACAAAAGACACACCCGTCCTCTCGTCAGAGAAGGCGCCCCACAGAAACAAGACTGTAACTGTCAAACGATAATAATTAATATCTGGTCATCGAGACTTACTGACTGACTGACCATCAGTCGCAATGTAACTCTGACTCTGACTCTGATTCTGGCAGTACTGAGTATTAAGTATGAGTTACAAGTATTCGGCAGAACAGAAGTCAGTCAGTTGCGAGAAGAACTGAATACATGATTAGAAGATTTTATGTGTGATAATTAGTGATATTGGTGATAACTGAGAAGGCATTGTGAATTGGGAGTGTGTAATTCAGTGACACTTGTATAGCTGCCGTGTTATACTGTAAATATGTGAAGACTACTGAAGATAGAGTGAAGAGATTAGTGTGTAGGGTTTGTAAATTGTGTAAACCCATAACGGTGTCATAATTAATTGTAGTTACGACTTGTAGGTTGTTAATAAAACCAATTAACAATCCGAACGTCGTCTCCAGCATCTAAAACACGTTACAATATACGTGGTAAAGTCATTAACTTCATGGAATGTGGTTTTATCGCATCATATTACAAGGTATTCACATACACTTACACAGATCCACATCAGCCCTCAAAATAGTTGCCGTTGGCCACTATGCAAGCCTGCCAACGTTGATATAGCTGCCGAAAACATTGCTGAAACATATTGGCAGGAAATTCCCACACAGTGTCTCTTGTGGCAATGACCACCTCCTCAAACGACTCAAATCTATGACCACATAGCTTTGCTTTCAAGCGGTGAAAGAGAAAGAAATCACATAGTGCAAGATCAGGTGAGTAGGGAGGGTATGGCAAAACGGTGACCTGTTGCCTTGTCAGTTCCTCTTGGACAAGAACAGAGCGATGTGCAGGGGCGTTGTCGTGTAGCAACAGCCAATTCTTCTTATGCCAAATGTTTTGCTAGGGGATTTTCCTAGTTTTTAGCAGAACTTGATGTTTGCCCATTGTTCAAACTGCCATATTTTCAATTTCTGCCACTTGCATTTAATTGCAGCACAATAGAGGTCATAGTTCTACTTACACTGTTTGCACACAACTGCCTCTTCTTGTGACGAGAGATGAACCGACAAGGCATCATATCGTGCCTCAATCTATCCCCTGCAGTGCACTGCAATGACGCTTTGTGGCCATTCCACGAACTTATTGACTGTGGTAATATATATATATATATATAATAGGCAGTCCCAAACCCATAAAAGTACCTATACTACCATATTATATTACATACAAAATATTAGGCAACAACAGGAAAATGATAAAAAAATCCAACGAACAACAGAAAAAGAAACAACACAAGTGAGAACGTCAAATAGTGTTGAGTTGAACATCATCTTAACAATAACTATGGCTAATTTCAAGATTATTTTCAAATCAATACTCCCTTCATATATACAACGACAATGCATACAACACAGTGTTATCAACTCACAGGATAAACTAAATAATGGAAGTAACCACCATAGTATGACAACATGATGGTTGAAATATCTCATTACAAACTAATAAATAAATAAATAAATAAATAAATAAATAATGACACAGTTGAACAGCACCACTTGCATGTTGCATATATAGGATATAGGAGACAGATGAATGCAACCAATCGAACCAAATTCAGCAGGATGTTACAGTACAGATGTTATCGTAGATACTGTCTTCTGGAATGTGCTGCTATGTAATATACAGGGGTTTATCGGAAAGTTCCCTGACTGATATTGTTTAAAAAGCCTTGTGAAAGATGAGAGGGGAGGCCAAGGTCACACTTCTGCAAGCCTATTGCATCAGTCTGCCATGTGACACCATGCTGTAAACACGAATTGTTTTTACATGAGTCCTTTTCCAACTTCATGTTTCGTTTTGTCTGTGATGGATGGCTAAATCAAGTAAAGTGTTTGCTTTAAGTTCTGCAGGAAGCTCAGTAAATCCACAACTGAAACCCTTGAAATGCTTCATTCTTTAAGCCGGACAGTGGTTTCTGAGTGACATTCATGTTTAAGGCCAGTCAAGTATCAGCTGAAGATGACAAACATTCAGGATGACCAAGCACCAGCAAAACAACAGAAAATGTTGTAAAAAGTCGAGAACTCATCCATGAAGACTGTCACTGAACAATGCATGAGCTCACAGATACCACTGGGATCAATTATGGGGTTTGCCAGATCTTAACAGAAAATCTGAACATGCATTGCACTGCCGCTAAGTGTGTTTCCTAACTCTTGAAAAACGATCAAATGCAGTGACAAGTAAACATGTGTCTTGTGCTATTACAGACGGCTAACAAGGCCCAAACTTTTATGAGTATCTCCAGGATCATAATGGGTGAAGAAAGTTTGATTTATGATTATGATCCAGAAACAAAGCAACAATCGTCACAGTGGAAGAGCCCACAATCACAAAGAGCAAAAAGTGTGTGACAGGTCTGGAATTCAACAAACAGCATGCTCATTGTTTTTTTTCAAAGGGAAGGTAATGGTTTACCGTGATCTTGTTCCTCCTAACACTATGGTCAACTCTGACATTTACTTAACATTATCAGATGCTTGAGAGAAAATGTGTCATGAAAAAGACCACAACTTTGGTGCAACCACAACTGGCTCCTTCGTCATGACAACATGCCCTCTCACAGGGCCCTGAAACCACAGAGTCTGTAACTAACAACAGGGGTTACTGTTCCCCATCCTCCCTACTCTCCGGACTTACAACCCTGTGATTTTGCTTTGTTTCCCAAATTGAAAGTGAAATTGAAGGGAAGTGTTGAAACAATGTCTAACATCCAAAGGGAATCATAAGTGGTACTCAATAGCATTAAGGCAAATGACTTTCACAGTGCTTCTGAAACATGGAAAAATGATGGAATCGCTGTATATGTTCCAAAGGAGATCATTTTGAAGGAGATGGCAGCCAAAATTGAGTAAATTAAGCCAATATTTCTTTCTTGACCTAGTCTGGGAACTTTCCAATACACCTCATACTAGAAAAGTGCCAACCCTTTAGATGAACTTGATGCCTCCATCTTCAGGGTAGAAGATGGATGCAGCAGGTTCCTCTGAAACAGTAATGTCTTTCTAGCAGACTCCATGGTGTTACACACCTGAAGACAGTAAGCAATCTTCACATTATCAAAGACTCATGCAAATAAATTATACTTAAGAAGGGAACTTGCTGTTAAAATACATAAATTTCATATTATGTTATTTATAAAGACTACATATAAAAGTTCTTAAAAATTAAATGATCAGACCTTAAGTATTTGTATCAATAATTATATTTACCTTCAGTATTTCAAGGGGAAATTCAGTATTTTCAGCAGTGTCAAGTCCTTCAATTCCCATTTCTTCTGCAGTTAGGTATGCTGCATAATGGTTCCTTCTATCCAACTGGCCAGAGAGTGGACACATCATCACAAGTGTTTGTGTAGCATTCTGCAAGACATTTATTGCCTCAAATGTGGAGTGAAAAATTGACACTCTTAGACCTGACATTACATACCACCTCTCAGCAAGGCAAGGTAAAAGTGAGCTTTCCAAGCGCAATGCTGAACTTGAAGTCTTTGCTCTGTAACATATGAAAGGAAGCCAACCAAGAAATGTACAAAAATGCCAAGCCTGAAATGCAATGTTGATCCACGTTTGTGTGTGTGTGGGGGGGTTGTGTTCTGAAATTTATCATTGAGAGTGAACTATTCGGAGCAGCTGATTACAAAATAAGAAGGGTGTGAGAGTTCCATCCACTATGAAAGTGAATTCAGAGCTATTTATTTTACATATATGAAGTATTATTGTGTGTTCCTGCAAACACTGGAATCATGGTAGAGCTGTACATATTTGCATCAGTGACATCCCTGGTGCCAAAAACTGAGTATCCTACTTGTCTTTCTGATGACTGATTGAGCTGTTCATATTTGTCCTGAGTAGGAAGTCACAAAGTTATGATTTCTTGCTATACCTCCATAAATCCTCTGGGACTGCAAATTTGGGAATTTAAATGGCATTTACAATGTGCCAATGGTTAACAAATTCATTATTAATCAAGTGAATCTATTTTAGTCTCCTAATAATGATAAACATTATTATAAAATTTGATGTTTGTGACTTACAGAGTGAATCCTCTGAAGAGAAGCTCATTCTCTTGCACAAAATGCAATGATTTCTTTTGAAGGAGGTACAGATCTTTACAGCAGCTGAGCAATCCTTTCACAGCACCAGACATCCTGGTTCTTTGCACTGAGAAGTACCAATTACTGAGGAAATGTTCTGCAGCAAGAAATAAGTAGTATAATGGGAAAAGCCCATGAATCACTTCTTTCTTCCACATGAACATCGTACCACAAACTAATATCCCATGGAGCAGTGACAGTTCAGTCCTACAAAGAATAATATAATATTTCAATATCTTGTTGCACTTTTCACTCAGTGCCTATTATTCAGTCTTACATGCAACACAACATCCCACAGAACTTATTAACCTTTAAACACTGGAAATTTGAAATGGTGGTACGCTTGAGCTGGCCAAAGTTTATTTAAATGCCCACTGCTGGTGCACATTTAAATGCCCATTGCTACTCTGTGTTTAAATGTCCATTCCTGTTAGGGCGCTTAAACAATTTTAAGCACTGCATTTAAAAATGTTATATCTAACATAATTTTTATGATAAATGGATGGAATTAACTTTGTTTGTATCAGCAAAGAATACAGTGTTGCATATTATAACAGAAGATTTGAAAATTTTTATGCAAAGTNTTTTCATTTTTTTCTTTTAATTTTGATGCGTACTGTAAAAATGGTTTCCCTGTTCCTCACAGAGCTGTTTTGCATTATAAATTCATTCCTGCTTGTAACACTTGACATATTTTAGCAGTCCCTGGTGTCATGAAACAGATGGAAGCAATAAAATCATTTGGTTCTCTGCTGGCAAATTTTACATCTGTTATATTCTTCAGATTTTCGAATCTTCTAACTAATGACAGAATAATGAAAGCATGACTATTCAAGAGAAAGCTAGAGGGAACAATTCGACGGTCTCTTCTTCAGTGCTAAGACCTTCTGTTATAGCTGCAAGAGATTACTGCCCTTTCTATGGTCATGAACAGACAGTTGCATCGTGGCCGAGATACAGAGTGTGATCTGTTTTCTGTGCGTTCATAGTGAAATCGAATACTGTAGTTTCATTTCAGCCCATATGTATGTGGGGCAATCCAAAAGTTTCCGAAATTTGAATTTTGTGCGCGAATGGTCATGAGTACATCGAAATACCGCTAGGTGTCTCCTCACACATCCTTCTTGAATCAGTGTGGCAAGCGGCGTCGAGTTGAGTGGTTGGGTTTATTGTTGGTGAACGTATTTCCATTGTTGTGTTTCCATGAGTTTGCGGTTTTGCGATGTCTGACCTGAGAGAGCAGCGTGTCTGTATAAAGTTTTGTTTCAAACTTGGGAAAACCGCTGCAGAAACGCACCAAATGTTGAAGCAAGCTTTTGGTGAAAACAGTTTAGGCCAGTCACAAACTTACAACTGGTATAAGCGTTTTAAAAATGGCCGAACATTGACTGATGATGACGACCGTTCGGGACGGCCGTCAACTGGCACCACACCAGAAAATGTCGCGAAAGTTAGGGATTTGATTCTGCAAGATCGTAGACTGACCATCCAAGACCTCTGTAACACCTTGGGACTAAATTATGGTACATGTCAACGAATTTTGTCAGAGGAACTGAACATGAGGATTGCGGCGAAGTTTGTGCCACGACTGCTGCGAAATGAACAGAAGCAGCATCGCTTGGAAGTCTGCAGGGAACTTCAGCAACAGCTTCAAGAGGATCCAAACTTTCTTTCGAAGGTTGTCACTGGTGACGAAAGTTGGGTTTATGGCTACGACCCTGAAAGCAAGCAGCAATCGTCGCAATGGAAGAGCCCTTCTTCACCTCGGCCAAAAAAAGCTCGACAAGTCAAGAGCAACATTAAGTCCATGTTGATCTGTTTTTTTGATATTGACGGGATTGTTCATGAGGAGTTCGTCCCTCCTGGTCAGACAGTGAATAAAGAGTTATATCGCGATGTTCTAAGGCGTTTGCGGGAGAACGTGAGGAGAAAACGTCCAGAGAAGTGGTGCACGAACGACTGGGTACTCCACCATGACAACGCATGATCGCATACGGCTTACATTGTGGAGGAATTTTTGGCTAAAAACAAGATGGCAGTTGTCCCCACCCACCGTACTCGCCAGACTTAGCTCCATGAGACTTCTTTCTCTTCCCCAAGATGAAAATCAAGTTGAAGGAGCGAAGATTTGATACAGTTGAGAAAATTCAAGTGGAAACCCAGACGGTACTAAACACCCTAACAAAGAAAGACTTCCAGGATGCATCTGAAAAGTGGCAGAAACGCTGGGATCGGTGTATGCACTCCCAAGGGGACTACTTTGAAGGTGATGGTGCAGAATAAGATCTAGGTAAGATGTAATAGTTTTTATTAATATATTTCGGGAACTTTTGGATTGCACCATGTATATACATCAAGCAGATAACAACAAAAAAGGTATGTACATTGAATTTTACAATATATTTTTAACACATTAATCTGCAGAATCTGCAATAAAAGTACTGGCTCGTGGATGAGTTTGGGCATAACTCGTACGTATACTCTTTTTTGTTGTTGTTCAGTTAGGCATTATTTTAATTCCTCTATTAGGGTTTTACTCAGGTTTGTCTGGTAATTACTACATATAAAAATAAATATTTAGGACTGTGCATGTGCTTCTACTAGTGGCGTGTGCATGCTCTTCCACTAGCAGAATTTAAATGCCCGACTGGCCAAAACGGGGTACTTTGGCCACGAGGACTGTACTCATTACTGGCACAAACGGGGCACTTTGGACGTTAAAGGTTAACTTTAAAAGTTTAAAAGTTCACTTCATGTTTCAGCCAATGTGGCCATCATCAGGTGTTAAACTTTTCTGATGAGGAGACTGTTGTCTTCTGTTGTTAATATATATGCAGGTCTCTTTGACGCACTTGTGTGTTGGAGTTGGTGCTTTTGTTCTTCCTTGCTGTGTGTTTTGCTGCATGTCTTGTTCCTGAATGTTTTGCCAAGTTGAACTACAACACACAAGCACATCGAAGGGATCTGCATATATATTAAGAACAGAAAAAAGTAGTTTCCTCATGAAAGAAATCTTAACACCTGATGATGGCCGTACTGACCAAAACATGTAGTGAACTTTTAAATTTAACAAGTTTTGTGGGATCTGGTGTTGCATGTAACACTGTGAATAACAGACCGTAGAAAGAAGTAATAAATTTTAGTTTTGAAATATGCACAGAAGATGAGATGAAATACAGCACTTATCAGTGTCTGGTGTCCAGAACTAAATTAGGATTTAAAAAAAAAGAGAAAAACAGCAGATCAGTTATTGTAATTTATCCATAAAAGAAGTTTAGCCTTTAAACAGAACATTCAGAATCTATCTTTTCACATGTATCTGCACCTTACACCAATGTCAGCCATGTCACACCTCAAAGTATCAAGGGAAGTCAGATATGCCATACAATTTAATCAAGCAGTTATAAATTATTAAACAATGTAGCTAGGATTTAAATGAATTTAAATGCAGTGGAACTTAATTTAATATTCCTCGATTTGAGAGTTTTCCATTAATTAACATTCACTGTTAATGATCTAAATTCAACAACTTCAGCAATTAAACCCTCATTTTTAAGTTCTTCCTCTATACATTATTAAAACCACTGCATCCCAAAGAAACCTCAAATGTGTGTTTCAACATAATAGTTTGGTTCAGTCTCCGTACAAACAATATTTTAATCAAGTGATCTCATAAAGAATGACCACCTCAGTGGTCTAGTGGTCAGCACTCCTGACTACAGAGCCAGAGATCCAGGTTCGATTCCCGGCAAGTAGTAGGTCTGGAACGGGGTCCACTCAGCCTCGAGATAACTGAGGAACTATTTCAAGGAAATAGCAGCTCCAGTCTAGAAAACTGAAATTAACGGTCATGGGGATTCATTGCGCTGACCACACGACATTCTCTATCCGCAAAAGTTGGCCCTAAACTTCGCCGACAAGCGGCGGTCGCTCGGTCGGTATAGTTCACTTGTGGACTAAAATCACGGAGTTTGTTTTTGTTTTGTTGATCTCATAGAGAACAAATATGAAAGACAAACAAATGTAAAAGCTGAAGCTGTTAAGAACTAGACAAGGTGGAGTGTGATATGAATTGCAGAAATAAGGTTTCATATGGAAAAAGATGAAGAGAAGACAATATCGTAAATAATCACAGCATCACAAGAAGTCACAAAATATACATATAATTTCCAGAGTTCAAGGAATTCCAATTTATTGTAAAGCATCAGAGTGACTACAGACGGGTCTTTGATTGGTAATCAGCTTTATTGCACATATTTATAGTTTGTGACTACATTTCTCAGATCACTAACATGCACACACCAGTATCCTCAGTCATGCTGCTTGATAGCAGCTTCCAACGTTCCTCTGCCTCTGGGTCATGTACTTGCAGGATGGCTACCATCTCACACCAACCTCATAATCAGACCACTTGCTTCAGGCAGTACTTCCTTCAGCTGCTAGCTCCCAGCTGGACCAACTACATTTTACAGATCACTCTCATGCACAGACTGGTGCCTAAGTCATGTTGCTTCATAGAGCACTCCATCCTCTGCTTCTGAGCTCATATCCTTGCAGGGAGGCAACCATCTCACGCCAACCTCATAATCAGACCACTGACTTCAGCCAGTACTTCCTCCAGCTGCTAGCTCCAAGGCTGGTCTGATTTTCAACTGCCAATTTCTACCACTATGGCATGACAAGCCTGTGTAACTGAGGGCAGCTGAGGCTACTGCTGTTGCTGTGTAGCACCACCGTGAAGAATTGTCCTGGGGTGGTGTGTGTGGAAGAGAACACCCTTCCCATTGTAATCTTGGGCACTCTATGTGACTTTCTTGTTTGCATCTCTTTCTTGGCATGCCTGCACTCTTGACAGTTGGGGGGATGAGGTATCGATCCATCTACCAACTTTCAGTTACAGAATGTATCCAACTTCAGCTGTCAACGGGGTCCTCTTACATGCCCTTGGCACTGACCGCATGGAAAACATCGCTTCCAATAGTTCCTCCACTGTTGTGTGCATACACTGCTTAGTGATGGCTCTTTCTCTTGGCTACACAATTCCTGCTTTGAGTAAATATGCTGCATTACTATTCTGAACACTAGAACTATTCTTTCCCAAGGAATGTCTAGATACATTTCTGGCTGAAAACAAAACTAAGCCATCAACAAGAATATATTGATCTATTCTAAAATCTTACCTGATTTCACAGTATACAACATGTACTTAAAAGTCTGAGCTCCTTTCAGTAAGTTCAAAATTGTATCATTATTCTGCCATTAACTCACCATAATGGCTTTGTACTGATGACATCTATTGGAAGAGCAAGATTTTCCAAAAAGTGACTATCATCTTCCAACAACAACCCACTGTTCAAAATAACTTCTATCTCCAACTGAAGGGGCACTAGTTTCTGTAAATGAAACAAACTCTAGTATATGCATATAAATGTAACACTATACCTAATTTAGTTTCCCACTGAATATGTCAAAATGCAGAACAAGGAATGCATATTTAAAAAATACCCCGATGATGATTCTGACCCAATAAATTTGTGACACATATACAATTTCTTAGTGATAATAGTTATAAACAAATAAAATAAAATAAAACACCACTACTGTTTAAATATAAACAAAGCGGCGGTTGATGATGGATGATGATGATGATGATGATGATGATAACAATAGCAATTAGGCCAATGCCTGTTGAATTGTTGATCCACTACAGAGATTAAACTGCAATAACAAAGGCCAGAAAAGTCATTAAATTCATAACACAACATCACACATCACAGCTGTATTATAAAGATCAGTCCCTGTCAGTTCCTAATACTGACAGTTATTCTCTCCTACCTGTTTGCAAAACTGAAGGGAGCTTTCTTCATAAAACTGAAGACTTTCTTCAATAATTTTTCCAATGTACACAGAATAAANATACTGACAGTTATTCTCTCCTACCTGTTTATAAAACTGAAGACTTTCTTCAATAATTTTTCCAATGTACACACAATAATAACATTTACAAAGTGGTTGTGGTCTGTACAAAGATATTATTCAAACAATTCACTGGAAGAACTGAAGACCATGAAAACCTACCAGGATAGCCAGTTGCCTTGCTTAGCCAAGATTCAAACTGATAACCACTCAAAACAGAAAGCTGTTGCATGAGTACTAACCACTATACTATGACTTTCAAAAACACAGTAATGTCATACATTTATTAGTATAGTGGTCCAATATATACCACAGTTTTAAACGAGTGGCCCTATTATAATTACTGATGGGTAATTATATGGTTCAAGGATGAAATAAATTTACTGAAAATCACATTCATATACCTTCATATCTGGTATCCGCCATTTTGGTATGAAGGGTTGTATTGCTCCTTTAAACAGTGTCCACAACTAGAAAAAAGAAAAGCATTTGTAAAGTCACCACAATAATGTAAACAAAGTATTCACCATTAGATAACTTCATAGGTTAGGGATATTCCATTTTCTTCTTCTTCATTTTTTAATACTGATCCTAAAACCAATGCAATATTATATTTCATCTTTTAAAACTTGTGGACAATTTATAAGATGAAATGAGGTATATTCTAAATTAACTTTCATGCAAAAGTACAGATGAACAAATTGGTTAAGTGCAACACTACCTAAACAGATTAAATGCAAGAATTTCATATATGGGAAATTTTAAAATGGATGTTTTTTTATTGCCAGTGGGGTGGGACTAAGTCCCTTGTACTGTGGCTACTTCTGGCCTGTTGTACCAGCCACAGATGATAGGTGAGGGTGATTGTGGAGCAATTGGTGGAATGAAGATTGGCAGGGAAAAGTGAAGTACTCGGATAAAACCTGCCCTAGCGCCACTTTGTCCACCACAAATCCCACTTGACCAAACCTGGGATTGAACCCAGGCCACAGTGGCGGGAAGCCAGCGACTAACTGCTTCAGCTATGGTGTGGCCTTAAAATCGATATTACATAGGACATGATTCTACGGACTTCCAAGCACATAACTATTTTTACATATACACCAAAATCTTGATTTTACACATTCACAGGAACCACCTAAACCAAACATAAAATTAAGAAAAGTGTGAAATCAGGGAAATGAAAACACTGTAACATAAAGGAAAATATGGGTTGCTTTACACCATAACTTATACATGCCATTTAAAATATGCACATCTCAACACACTAATGCATGTCATTTAAAATATGCATGTCTGAACACATTAACAATGTAAACAAATTGTTTATTTTTTTTCCTTGAACTCACAGTTTGCACAGCTAATTTTAAACTTTTCTGCATATCACAATAACACTGTTCTCAGTATCAAAACCCACAGTATATTTTCTTGCTAATTCTGGTTCTTTCAGTGCATCCATGAATGTCAATTTATCTCATGAAACTTCCTCTTCCTCTGTCTGTTCATCTTCTGACTTAGTCAACTGTTCATCCAATACCTGGCCAACAGCCTTAACTCCATTAACACTGACAGCACTGTCATACATTAAGTAATCCTCGAGCTCTGCTCTAAAAGACTGTAACTATGCTTGTCATACCGTTCATTTTCAGTAAATTTCACACTACTGCTAACGTGTTCAATCCTAAAACCAAACTTCAAAGAGCAGTTCTTGATTGCAGTGGGTGTTATCATCTGACATGCATCTGTATGTCAGATGACCTAAAAGCCAAACAGCCATAGACCAAATAAAAATAAATAAGGGCTTATGGGAATACAACTTTAAAGTGGTGGAAACAGGGCTCTTTGACCATAATGCCCAAATACTACAAGTACAAATGCATTATACGAACAAAAAAGGACAAGGTAGAATAACTAAAGATTACAGATTAGCTAGATCTTATAGTGAGGAAAACATACCATATATAAACTATTTACTAAGAAAAGAGATCTGGGAGCCTGTTCTTAAACAAAATGAGGCAAATGATGCATACAATGAATTTTTAGGCATCCTTCAGTACTACCACAATATAGCTATGCCTAAAAAATGGGTAAAAATTAAGCAGCAAAAAAATAAATGGATTACCTTAGGCATAAAGGTATCAGGAAAAAGACTTAGGACTCTTCATAGCTTAATTAAAAAAGGAAATACATTTCAAGAACTTAGAAAATACTATAACCAGTACAAAAAAATATACAACAAAATTATCAGTGATGCTAAAAAATTAAGCAACAACATGTGAATACGACCATCTGGGAACAAATCAAAAGCCATGTGAGATTTAATCAAGAAGAATTAGGCAGTCAGCAAAAAGTTCCAAAGAACATTGAATTAGGAGTGAATGGAACAACTATACAAGATCCAAAAGTTATAGCCAATGTTTTTAATGACTACTATATTAACACTGCCCAGCACATCAAGAGTAACAATCGGACAGCACAAAACAATGAAGACAGGATCAACACAATAAAACACAACAGCAATAGCATGTTCTTAACCCCAACTACTGAAAGGGAGGTGGTAGACATAATTAAAACACTGGGTAACAAAAAATCAATGGGCATTGACGATATTCCAGAGGTCACTATTAAAAAATGTCATCAACTAGTAAATGCTCTAACATACATTATAAATCTGTCATTTTCATCTGGTTATTTCCTCGACCAACTAAAAATATCAAAAGTGAAACCCTTGTATAAGAAAGGTTGTACTGCAGATGTTGGGGAACTACAGGCCAGTGTAATTAATTTCGGTTTTTTCTGAAATAATAAAAAAATTATGCACAATAGACTTTTATCATTCATAAATAAGTACAGCATAATCAACAATAAATAACATGGATTCTGCAAAGGAAAATCGACACATATAGCAATCACAGAATTTACAAAAAGGGTTTACAAAGCACTAGGTGAAGAAGAAACGAGTATAGGGATATTTTTGGTTTTATCAAAAGCGTTCGACCTAGTAGATCATGATATATTGCTAAGAAAGATGGAAAGAATGGGAATACGAGGGGTTACACTAAGGTGGTTTCAAACATACTTAGAAAACAGAGAACAAGTGGTAGAAATTACATACAGATGCAAAAAACTAATCGTAACATTAATTACCTATCCCGAAAGAGACCCATCAGCTATGGCATCCCACAAGGTTCCATTCTGGGACCAGTGTTGTTTCTTTTATACATAAACGACCTGGAGGCCAGCACAGAACATGGGAAACCTACAGTCTTTGCCGATGATACTAGCATTTTTATAGCAGGAAATAGCGCTAACGAAATTCAAAGGAAAACAAATGAAACAATAAACAAAATCACAAAGTGGTTTGAGAGGAATCGATTAACTATTAATAAAGAGAAAACAATAGCAATAGCCTTCCATCATCCTCAAAAACTACAACTTGAATGCCCTTTGTTGTGCTCCAAATGTAATAGGGGGGCATCGACATTATGTTTGGATTGTTAAAAAGATTTCATACTGACAAGGTCCATGTTTGTGAAACGCGGAAGGCAAACAGCCTGGCAAAAGAATGCTTTGGCTCAGCACAGCTGCGCTGACAACGCGGAAGCAAGCACTCATAAAGGTAAAACACTGGGAGGAATTAGAAATGCTGAGTAGACAGAGGCTGGCAGAACACGATTCGTACCTCTACCATCTTTGTACATATACGAAACGCTAATATACATAAAATTCAATTAAAATGATTTCACAACCAACTCAGGATTACACTCATATAACACAAGGAAAAAAGATGACTTGCACATTGTCCCATGTAATACAAGTCTATGCAAGAACAACTTTAACAATGTAGGACTCTGACTGCTAAATCATCTGCCACGATATATTAAAGAAATACCGGTACTATATAAGTTCAAAAACGCTTTGAAAACTTACCTACTCGATCACTGTTTTTATAAAGTGGATGAGTTTCTCTCGTGTGAGACAAACAGTAATCAAATATAATCACATAATTCATGAATAATCGGTTTGGGAATCCCTACTGCGCAGTTTTCCTTTCTTNCCCCGAGTACTTTGGTTTCCCCTGCCAATCCTCATTCCATCAAATTCTCCATAAGCATTATCACCACTACAGGTACAATAGGACATATGGGAGCTGACGTGCTGAGGGGACCTAATATGGATTCCACCTCACACTATATGAAATCTTAACTATTGTAATCCACTGTAATCTATTGTAAACAATTTTAAGTATTGTAATTTTATTGTAATCAGCCAATGCACGGTAACTGACTTGTCCTATATCATGTAACAATGATCTATAGAGACAAAATAAATAAATAAATTAAGTTCACTGAATACAACACATTCAGCTTCACCTTCATAGCATCCCCATCTATCATGTCTACAGCCTTCCAAATCAACAGCTTTCTGTAACAGGATGTAAATATGCAGCTGATACCCAAAATAAAGACTGGAGCTGGCTGGAAGAAATAAAAATTTTAACATTTCTGAGAAATGTGTACTTTGTGTGAGCAGCACAATGATCAATGAGAAGCAAAATTCCATGGCTTTTGACACCCAACTATGCAGATGTCTGAAGCAGTCTTCATATATATTGGTGAATACTCAAGAATTTGTATTCCTTTTGTATTTTGCAGGAAGTCTCTTTCCAATTATAAAGGGTGCAAGTTTATCACTGCCATCAGTGAGGCAAGCAAAAAGCACAGTAACCCAATATTTAGATTAGGTACCACTGTGGCAAAAGCCTCTTGGAGGCATTACTTGGCTGCATATTGAAAAACTTGCCTGACTCTGCAGCATTATATATGCCACAGAGGTCATAACTTGAGTCTCTTATTAAGAGTTCTGTCATTTTTCTGCCTTTCAATGGTTCTTGGATCAACACTTCTACTATCAGTTGACAGAGTTCTGGAAGCAACAGTGCATCACCTTTCAAATCTCCTGAGCCAATCCTTAGAAGCTAAGAGTCATCTATTCCTAAATGAGCAGTGATATTAAAGTCCTCCTTTGGGTGGGTGATATCTATGGAAACCTTACTCACTCACACAATTGTATGAGGCATGCATCAACAGCTGATTCCAGTTCCTTCATTTGTGAATGTTTCAAAGATTTCCACTGTTTGGAGAAAGGTCCACACTTTCAATTTCTTCATAGTTTCTCACAGCTGTATTCAACATGGACACTGAGAGTCCCAACTGTGACACCTGTTCGATGTGTTCCAATATGTGCACCAACTTGCACTATAATACTAACTTTACCATTTACTATAAATATATTCAGTTTTGTTTTACTATTCATATTTCAGACCAAAAATTCAATTAAGAAATGGAGTGTTACATTCATCTGCAATGCTCAGCATCACACAGATAACAACAATCAACTTCACAGTAAAACAAATGGCTGCAGCTACCTAAGTGTTATCGGTAAGAATGAAATTATGTTTGTGTCTGCAACTGGTTGAGATAACTCATGTAACATTCAGAAAATTTCACATGCAAAGATATCCCTATTTTACTACGACCAAACTTCAACATGAGCTCAACAGCACCAGCATATCTATCATTTTTCCAAAACAGAATGTGGTAAGGTAAAATTAGGTACATTTTAATAGTCAGAACCCTGAAAAGAGAGTGAGAATTTGGGAAAAACACAGATTTGAAGAAATGTAAAATTGGTTAAACCGTAGCATTGCTCCCATGATGAAAAGCCACGACCAATGAAGATGTGTATAAGAATCACAAAAAATGTAAAATCTGAGTGCAAAAAATCGACATTTCCATATATATGTTTCTTTAAGCCTACTATTGTAATAAATGACTGAAGTCAAACAAGCTTCCATTGCTGTATAGTCCACATCAAGAAATAATCTTTTTTCCTTCAATGCATCATTTGTTTTCATTCACTGGCCTACAGAAATGCATTCTGCTCCATTTCCTCCATATTTCTACCTTACAATTGCATTATTTTAGGAAAGTGGCCAGAAAATAATACACAGCAAAGAGATTAAGAATATCAAGATAATCATTATCAGTAAATTAAATGTAAGATTTTGATACCTTCATAATAATATATGAAACCCCTGATGATGGCTGAAGAGATGTTGAAACATGTTGGATTAAAAATACATTTTGACATTATTTTCCTTTTAGGAATGAGGGGAGTTGGTGGGTTTTTTCTTAAACGCATATTTATTCAGACAATTATGGAACCCAAAGAGGTTCACCAATTTCCAAATCCAACTCAGAATGATCTTAATGTTACACTGCAATCCTGCCTACCAATACTCCATACAAAATTCAGTGCTACTTCTCTACAGTCCAGCTTCTATATTGTTGATAACAACATCTGAAGAGTAAAGCATGAGGAATCTTTATCTCATAACACAATGTCCATGTAACATAATTTTCTAATGAATTTAATGAATTATATTAACAAAGCGATTAAAAATTAAAAGCGCATCAGCTTGAGAAACATACGTACTACCGAGTTCCTAGATTGTTCCATGTTCTGTGCAATTCTGAGTGGCGATTTCATCTACATAAAGTTGTTTTGGACAATTACTTACAAGGATGAAAATTCAACATATTATAATTTAAGTGGCTGCTGTGTACAAGACCAAAATAATAATATGAGTACAACAGAAAAAAAACTGTTACATCAATATATTTATATTTAGTATTTCATTTGGCTTTAGAACTTAAGAGACCAAAAACAAAAAATACCTGATGTCTTAAAGTTTCAGACTTCTTAGTTTTGGAATCCTGTACTGGACTGCTGTATTTCACAACCTCAAAATCTGTGAATCCTTGCTGACATAAGTAATGATGAAGCTCATGTCCCTGGAATAAAATTACAGTTTCAACTGAAGCACTTCAAAGGATACTACTACAGAAACACAGGTAAAATTGTAGGATTGCAAATCATTCCTTAAATGGATATGCATTACTGTTGCCCACAATAGCTGAACTAGCATCATAACGCCAATCATGATTTAGCAAAACCACTCAGTTCATTGCACACCAAGATTACTAAAATAACACTAACTTAATCTTCAAATTAGTCTACTCTAATCTTACCTAACCTACTGATTTCAATGAGAAACACCATAATCATAATACACACTAAAAAGACACCATCTTAGAGAGACCTAATATCTTGCAGAGCATCAACAATACAGTAAAGTACCGTCATACACTGCGTTTCAGGAAGCCTACATTCTATGCAAATGGCATGAAAATACTACAGTTCATGTGAAACATATTTTCTTCCATCATAAGGAACAAAACACTTTCCAATCATTACAATCACTTCTGCTAAAATTATGCATACAACAAGTTTAAACCCAATTTATCTTAGGCTATGTAACATTCCATGACAAAAGATTCTGCAGTACATGAGTTCATGTCTGCAAAGTTCTCAAATTTACAATGAAACCTCAAACACATAATGTTTTTCTGTTCCCCCCCATTTGCACAGTGGTGACCATGATGATTATTGTCTTATGGAATTATAATGCCATGTAGTCCAGTAGAAGTTCACTTATGTTTTGGAGGGATGAACTGCTGCATCTTCAGGGCTGAAGATTAAGCCAAGCATAAAATTGACAAGAAGCAGGCAGCAAGCACAGCCACCTTCTTCTTGCTGATTTCTTGTTTTTGTGACTCCAAAAACAGAGGCAGTACATCCCTCTGAAATGTAAGTGGATTTATACTGAACTGCATGGCAATACATACAGACTCCCTCACCAATGAAGAAAAGGTTTATGGAAATTTATAAATAACTACTAAACTTTACCCAATTTCCTACTTAAATCTCTATCTATAGTTGTCCTTAATACAAAATATTATCTGTATGTTCAAGGAAGACCATGAAAAGTCCATTAGGATGGCTAGTCTCCATTCCAAAATTCAAACTCAAGATTTCCCAAACAGAAGCATGCCAGCAATTTGAAAGCAATGTGGGAGTGGAGAGAGTTTTAGTCAATTACTGAGGCAGGATCCAGAACAGTATATTGATATGCACTAGATTTTAGTGGTAAAGAATAACACTCATACATACTCATAGGACATTAATGTAAACTTATGTTCATAAGGGGAACACAGATGATAAATTTTAAATGTTATGGAACTATCATAAAAGCACTGCTTCAGTTCAACATTTTGAAATTTTAAGTTTCATTTCATTTCATTTCATTTATTTCGTATCCATGGATCATTATACATGATATAAGACATGTCATTCTTGTGTAGTTATGGTATAATAAGTTTCATAATGTTACTATTGGGGGGGGCTGCATGTGAAGCATGTAGTGCAACGTGGAATTTGGGTACCAACTCAGCATTTGCTCTGGGACCAAGGAAAACCACGGAAAACCTTGATCGAATTGGCCAGTCACAAGACCTCCCAGATACACTGGTTTCTAGCAGCACCACTCCCACCGCCTCGGCTCCATATCCCATAGTCCCTGCTGTGTTTTCTCCAGCACATGGCGTCCTGTTTCCTGCAAGAAGAGAGTTACGCAGTATACACTCCTAGTGTGTGTTAAGCTAAGCTNAATGTATAAGTTCTCTTTCCTTCTTGTATTATATGAGTGTACATTTGCATTGGTTATGAAGGTATTCGAGTTGGATTTCATGTAAACTAGTGTTTCATATATATAGAGGCATGGTAGAGGTAATACGTGTAGTGATTTGAAATACTGTTTGCAGCTAGTAGCTTTATTTTTTCATATCTGAAAATTATCAGAGAGCGCCACATTTTTACAGACTGCATTTCTGATGAGCCACTTTTAAGCTTGAAGTTGAAAGAGTTTTAAATAAAAAAAAAATACAAATCTTCATGCAGAAATCTCCAACAGCAATATTTAACAACTGCTCTTACTATTTATTAATTAAATTATATGCCTGTTTACCAAGAGTTATCATATGTGATATAAATGTGAAATGTTATTATTAACTTTCAAGAAAATCCCACAAATATGGAGGAAATAAGGTGTTATTTTAATAAGGCATTGCCATAAATCTATGAGCCAGGATAGTGTAGTTATATTATATTAGTCCTATTATTAGAACCATCACTGTATTATCTTAGTACATTATTATAGTGTTATTTATTATATTATTATTTTTCTTATTTATTATTGTAAAGTATCTGACTTGTCCTATATCATGTATAATGATCCATGGATATGAAGTAAATAAATAAATAAATAAATAAATAAATATGTTACGTATAGCAATTGCCTACGGGTTGGACGACTGAGGGGTCAGAGTCCAAGTCCTGGTAGGGTCACATATTTTCTCTTCTCCATATCATCCAGACTGGCTCTGGGGTCCACCCAACCTCCTATTCAACGGATAATTGGGGCTCCTTCCCCGTGGGTAAAGCGGCCTGGGCGTGAAGCTGACCACTCACCTCCAGCTAGTGCCGAGGTCAGGAAAATGTGGATCTATACAGCCACTCTCCCATACGCTTTCATGGCGTAGTGCTTAATTAGCTAAGCAAAGGTATAATTTTACCTGTACCTTATTGCCATAAAACTTCAATTTATTTGTGAAGAAGAACCAATTTGCATTGATGAAATGAAATAACAAGAAATACAGGAATAAAAATGTCATTACAAACGGTGCTGGTAGGTATTAAAAAAATACATAACGTGGTATTGTGCGTATGTAAAACCAAGGAGAATACGCTCATAAAATACTGTACTTCAATTAGTAGAATTTGATTGCACAAGAATTTCGAACTAATAACCTACACTGTCATTAGCACAACTCAACTTGATACGACTCACAAGGTTACAATGTAAAAAGCAGTTAAATCAATGCAAACACAGAATTATGAATTAATACAAACAAAAGTATCGGACACAATATTGAGTTACCCAATGCCGCCTTTCAGCAAAGTGTCCTACGTTGAAAACAAAAATATGCAGCTCTACAAAGGACAGTATTTACCTCAAACACTACTTCTTCGTCTTCCGACATTATAGTTAAATATTTTGTCCCTCTTTAGTGAATTATCAGCTTATTCCGCCACAGAATAATTTCAATACCTTACGTCACTTGGACGAATTAATCCGCGTACTTTACATCACAGTTCACTTTTCGTCATTTGCACAATGTGTCAAGATGGAAATCCTTGTTCAAAACGGAACAAAAAAAGAACACCCACACATCACTGCACCCAACCATAACCTCTTTTCTGATAATTATGGCGGAGCCCGGGTACATAACACTACGAACGGTACTCACCTCACCGGCTCACTGGTACTTACGTCCCTTACGTCCGCTCACACCAATTCGCGCCATTCTTCACCAACATTCTACATGCTGCCCTAGCAGATGGCAGCAGGAGCCTGTGTCTTATCCACAGGCAGGGCCCGATGGACATAGCGTAGGCGTTTTTTATATACATTAATTTTTTCAAAATATATAGGTTATGCTGGTCCGCATCGATAAATTTCCATGTAGATGATCTGACATGACAGATGCTCATATTCAAAGGGCCGTTTCAGAAAGGTTTTTTTTTTTTACTGCTAGTGGGGTGGGACTAAGTCTCTTGTACTGCAGCCACTTCTGGCCTATTGTACCAGGCCCAAATGTTAGGTGAGGGTGATTGTGGAGCAATTGGTGGAATGAAGATTAGCAGGGGAAACCGAAGTACTTGGAGAAAACCTGCCCCAGCGCCACTTTGTCCACCACAAATCCCACTTGACCAAACCTGGGCCGCCGCGGTGGAAAGCCAGTGACTAACCACTTGAGCTATGGCACGGCCTTCAGAAAGGTTACTTTAATACTTTTCAGTAATCTTATGTAAGCAACTAGTCAGAGCTAGTCACAATTTAGTGACTCACTATAACTGCTATATTTATTTGTATGACACTGGGGCTATTCCTATACCTGTAACAAATTATCCTCCACCAACAAAGCCCCAGTGCCATCCATGCCGTTTGCTCTAGAGGTGGCTATTGTCTCTTTTATATGCATTCCAAATGCTGATCCCAAAGGTCTGAAGACGGGTCTCGTGATACTCGTACTTCAAGGACTTCACTATTTCAGAGATTCTCCCACTTATTTTCATAATAAGTGGGAGAATTATGTGATCACCTTTTCACTTCCATAGTGCAGGACATTACAGCAATGGCCGCATCATGGAGCAATATTGAAAGGCTGCATCTTTCATTTTGTCCCATCAGTTAACAGGTACTGATAATATAACATGGGCAGGGTGATGCACATATGATATGGTCAACTTAAGCAATTATTCTATGCCCTTACAACCTATTTGTCATTTATTTAACACTTTCTGCACCTCATTATATGGAGGTGACTCACAGAATTCATGAATAATTAAAAAGTATGTGTTGGGAACCAGTCATGGCTTCATTTTGGGGTACTCCCCTAGAATTTATAAGTAGAGACTGACGAAAATCACACAAAACACCAGTCGCAGACCTGAGATTTGAACCCATTACCTCATGAATATGGAAAAGTACAATTTCACTGTGACATTCCATTCACCAGCAAACTAAGCCACATCATCAAATACAAGATTAATTTTAAAATTTTGGTATTGCTGAGAAACTTACTCCATCTTGAGGGTTGAAGTTAACATACCTGAAATGGTTTTAAGCCTCATTTCACTCATACCCTTCAGATTTATCAGCTTCAGAAGAGCCAGTTGTGTAAGCAGTAACACTTTTGACCTGTTTCAGAGCCACCAGTTCAATTTTCAACTGGAACAGCAACTATATTGAGGATTTTATGACTTCCTTCAGTCCCTCCAGGCAGATACTGGGATAATTTCTCAAATTAGGCCATGAGCACTTCCTAATCCCCCTTACTAATAATACAAGGTGTAGCTACAAAATTACAGGAATGACTTTGTAACTTACAACTCATCTTACTACTTAACTAATGTTGCCCTCTTTTAAGTTTTTTTCTTGGCAGCTATACACACAACTATTCCCTTCTGTCACACCTAGAAGCATTTCTGGAGGAACTCATCCTCTGACAATGCTGTTCAATTGTGTGACATACACTGTTGGCCCTTCTCCAGCAACCCAAAATGCATCCCTTTCCACCAAGCCTTTTCAGTTGCAAACAGAAAGAAGTAACAGAGAGCCAAATCATAATAGGGAGGAAGTTCCATCAGAAGGATGTTCTTGCATCAGAAATTGCCTCACAAATACTGCAGGGTGAGCTCGTGCATTTCATCAAACTCACAGCTGCCTGACAAGCCATACCTTTCCTGTTTTCCACTCAAACACTACACAATTCCAAGGTAAAACATCAGAATCACAGCTTCTTCATGGGGAATGAATTCTGAGTGGACTATTTCTTTTTTCTCAAAAAACATGAGTATAGTCTAGAATTTTGTCTTGTTCATCTTTACTCTTTTCAGTGTAGGAAAACTTCTTGTCATTTCTGCAGTAATACACATACACAGCATGTCATAACTTGATCGATTTCAAGTACTTACATTTCTAATGCTATTTTAGATGTACTAATAAATCAACATAAATAATGTGTTGTTAAATAATGCTTTAGATTTCCTGGCAAAGTAGTGGTTTCATATTCCACTACAGATTGGCACTGCATCCACTAGTTAAACAAAATAAATACCTGAAATCTGTGAGGTCTTTATGAAACATTCTGCATAAATATAACCTTCCAAGTATGAACCACGTTTCTTTGCTACAGTATATGCCCTTTATCATATGCATACTGAAGTGCCAATGTTCTCCACTTCTGGAACGATATGTGGTAACACTTGTTCCAAACTGTATGAGTAGTAGTGCACTGTCTCTACTAATTTCTTCTGGTCTGATAGGAAGTGTGATCATTCAGACTGCACTCTCCTGTGTCACATTCTAAATGAATATTGGACTGTTCTATGATCAGCAGCCAATTACGATATTCAGAGTGAGTCACATAATGTGACATAGAACAAAACAGTATTACACCCTTAAAACATGAGACTGAACATCTTCATGCCAGTAAGTATCAAAATCATTGCCTTCTGGGATCTGGCATCATATTGTTGGCAGGTGGGTACCATCTCAAGAGTGATCTTTAGTATAGCAGAGTGACCTTAACATGAAGACAGCAGGTTTCTCCAAAACATTCATACCCATGTACTGCATGGTGTCACAATCCAGATGGCAATAATACTGAGCAGAGAAGTCTGTCTGTGGAAGGTCAGGGTTCATACAGGAAACTGAAAGACAACTTATTGGCCCACCACATCCTTATGACTAGTCTCCTTCATGTTCTCAGATCTGCACTAGCAGCACTTTTTCATGGCTGATGCCAGTTACTCTCACCTCTTATTGGTTGTCAGCTTTACGCGCCAGCCGCGCTTTACTCCCCAGGAAAATTATTTAATTAATTCCTGGTGCTCATTTCTGTTAGAGGCTGAGTCGACCCCAGGGCCATAGTGTGGCTGGAAGAATTAGGTCAATTGAAAAAAAAATCCAATGACCTCATTGGGACTTGAACCCGCCACCTTCCAGCTTGTAGCATAGTGCCTCAACCAACTACAACACCATAAGCTTGAATAAAGACTACATATCCAATGACACAATCAACATACACAACTATGACCCAACACCATATATCAATGTTATAAACAAGAGCAGAGTGTTAATCGTATACACAACATCTTCATGTCAAGATAACAGACAAAAAACAGAAATACAGTCATGAACAATAATAAGTCCAACATGACCTTATTTAAACTAAGGATGAGAAAATATCCAGAACATATTTCTATAAGCTTAATATTTTAACATTTTAATAATATTAACACTTTTGACATATTGTTAATATTTTAAGATTTTAATAAGTTTAAATGCTGGTTTCATATATTTTAAATAAGTTTAGGTTCAGTACAGAACCACTTAATTTGTGCATATAATGGTGAACAGTGAAGTGAGAGAAGCATGCTGTGTTATCACTTTATTAGTAACACATGACAAAAAACACGATATATGGATCCAAATAGAAAGCATAATTGCAGAGCAAGACTTGATTATGTATCGCCTGACGATGGCTCCATGAGCCAAAACATGTAGCCACACTGTACAACCAAATAAACTAAGACATGCAGAGTCTAATGTAAGTTATTTGGTGTTTGTTTTTGTTGTGTTTGACAGAAAAAAATGGAAACACATATACAGGGTGTTTCACGACTTTAGGGCATAACTGCAGGAAGTGATTTCCTAGGTCTTTGTGATCAAAAAAGTTCATATAAACATGTGTCCGATTTTGGACAATTACGGAGTTATGACCGTTTTTTAATTCCTGTACACGCCTTCATGTGAACCGCGTCTATCATCTGGCAGGTCGATATTTTTAGCCAGCTACAGACAGAGCGTTCTCATTATCTTGACACTTGAGAGGTATGTAAGGCATGGTGGGTTGGTATGTCCAGTCACAGACCCGCGCGGTAGCCAGTGGTGGCATTTTCGAAAATCAGCTTTGAGCACCAATAAATTCAAATTAAAGGTAATTTCACGAAGTTAACTTTACATTCATTACTTTAAATGTATCATGTATTATGCTGGAATTATTTTGTTCTGTTTATTGTCAGTAATCATTACCATCTATTCTGAGTTTAAAACGGTCATAACTCCATAACCGTCCAAAATCGGACACATGTTTATATGAACTTTTTTTGATCACAAAGACCTAGGAAATCACCTCCTGCAATTATGCCCTAAAGTCGTGAAACACCCTGTATACTGCTCATATCTGTTCAGTGATACTGGACCAATTTTATAACAGGTTTTCATAAAATAAAATATATTACAGTGATGGAATAATATTGACACAAAAAATGGGTGAGAACTGTGTGCATGAAGACTTAATTCACAATCAGTATTTATGCATGTAACTAACTACAAAGAGGAAGAAATTGTACTTTATTCTGGCTCTATTACAGAGACACCAAACCATGACTCATGGCAGCATTTGGAATGGCTTGAGACGAAGTGGAGTGATTACTGCAAACTCTCAATGGTTTGATAAACAAAAAAGTTACAGTTAAGATCTAAAAGTTTGTGACGATGGTAAATTGTTACAATTAATATGCTGTTGGACATTATCCATCATCTAGTGTATTCATAAAAAACCATCCTGTTTCTTATAAAAACACAACGTTTTTGGGGGACTGGAGACAGGGGCTAGCTCTGGCTATTGGACCCAACTGAGTAGGTTTTATCTGAAGATGGGGACAGAATCCAGTCCCCGAAACATTGTGTTTTATAAAAGAAGCAGGAGGGTTTTTTTATGAATACACTAGATGATGGATAATGTCCAACAACATATTAATTGTAAAAAGTTATATGCATGTCTACAATAAGTAGATAACTTTTAAGGAAGAGGACTTTTTGTTTTCATTAGTTCACTGAAAAAACCTCAGAGCAATGTTTTCTTTACATCTTCTTTACAACTTGTCCCGGTGACTAACTATAACTAATTAAGCACTATGCCATGAAGCCAAATGGGGGAGTGGATGTATAGATTCACATTTTCTTGATCTTAGCAATAGTTGGAGGTGAGTGGTCACCTTCAGGCCCCAGAGACTTTATCCCATGTTTTATGTGCTAATTTAAGAAAAACTTATAACTGTGTAAGAGACAAAAATTAAATGTCCCATAACTCAAGTAAACACATTTACAGATTTTTCTGTAGTAGAGAGTTTTATAAATAAAATAATTTGGGGGTATGCCAGACCTCAGGAACAGGCACATGTAAAAAACTGCAATGGAAAGATCCAGCATTAACAAATTACTGCACAGTGATAATCATGAACCACATTTTCACCACATAAAACAAACACATATGGAGTAAAACAAAGGGCTGAGGAAGAGTGAAGAGAAAAACTGAGGAAGGAAACTGGGTGTGTCATAGTCTGGTACTCCTGGGTCAACTGTGTAAGACACTTGGGGGGGGGACTTGAATAAATGAGAAGCAAGCAAGAAAATCTAAACCAGTACAAGAAGGAAAATAAATATAATAAAGCATTAAGTTTGAAGTCTTTGTTAACGTACAAATGTATGACACTAGCGAGTACTTTATTCTACAATGCACATGGATATATAAACCAATATCAAATTTCAGTTTCAATAATATTGTTTCTCAACAAAATCTGCTTTACCTCCCATCCACTGTCATGGACAATAAAGAATTTATTGTGGCCCAGTGTGTCACATTGTTGTACTTTTCCACCAATAAATAATATATTATATATGGAGGAAAAATATGCCACTGCTGTGCTACTTCTCTGATGCTGGTGTAGGAAAGAGACCAGATCCCATATACACTGCTTCCAGGGATACATTTCTCATTTGTTGCCAAAATTTTACCCATTCTGTTCAATATCCAATTACACAGAAGTGTGTCTTTGGAAATATGTTCCTACTTACTAAAACTTTCTATTGTAATCTAAGACCAGGAAATTTAGTTACAAAAATTAAACACAATGTTACAATAATACAGCCAAAACCAGTACTAGTAATAAAATTATTTAATTTTATCAAAACGCAGTGGTTTTTATAGTACAACTCGAACTACCTGATTAACAGGCACAAAAAGTCAGATATATTCATTGCTAATGTTAGGTAAGGTACTCAAACACAGTGAAAAGTCATTTTACAGCTCCTCACTTTCAGCACATCCCTAAATCAGAGTTCAAATTTCCTCAATCTATGGTCCTCCTCAGGTGTGAGTTCCAATCTGCTGTCTGTATTCAGATATAAAATTAGGATATAACTGTATTCTGAATTGGGCGAGAATAAAATACACACACTTCACTTCTTGGCAAATGATATTTTCATAGCATGGGAAGGAGTAATCTTGAAACCTTGAAGTGCATCCTTAGCAGCACCAGACTGGAGTTCATTCTCAAATTCCACAAACGCGATGTCGTGACGGTTAGGAACCAATCTAACTTCCTTGAATCCAGGAAACCTGAAACACAGTTGAATTTCCAGATAGTGAAAATCAGCGGAATCACATACTTGGTATACATTATCATGTGACTGAGTGACTATAGACGAGGTTTGGATTGGTAATCAGATTTACTGAACACTTACAAAACATGACTACTAATAACTATACTGTAATCACTAATTCACACACTCTACATTTCACTACAAAAAAAGAAACTCCATTGCCTGTAGTCTGCAAACGAACTATAGCAACCGAGCGACCGCCGCTTGTCAGCAAAGTTAGTGCCAACTTTAGCTACATTTCACTACAGCATGCACAAAGTCTTTTCAGTCTGCTGTATCTTCACCGGGTCTGGTACAATTCGCCAGAAGTGGCGGCAGTACAAGGGAAATAGTTCCACCCCACTAGCAAAAATCTTCACTGGTTTTCACCTGGTAATGGCTTCCAACACTGTAGCTTCCTCAGATTCTATGTTCATGTCTTTACTGTTTGGTGACGTTCTCACAATTCAGTCCAGGCTGGCGGCTATCTCACATCAACCTCCTGCTCTTCTCCCTCTTGGCCCAAGACTCTCTAATCACAACTGCTTGTTATATAGCCTTGGCATGGACTGCATAGAAAACACCACTTCCAACAGTTCTTCTGTTGTCACATTTAGTTTATTTCATCGTCGTTGCCTGGCAACAGGTCTACAGGCCCCACTGCTCCCTTCTTCAGGTGATTCGTCCAGAACAGTCTACAGGTGTACTGCCATTTCTTCTTTTCTGAGGGCTATGCTTGTAACGTCTGTGATCAGCCTGACCTTCCTTCCCTGTGGCTTGGTCCTTGCAGTGATTATTCTGCAACTGCTCCCTCTTTAAGGCCACTAGTCCTGAGTGGTTCCCTGATAAGGTGTGAGCTGTTGCAGGTGTACCACCATCATCATCTTTTCCAAAGGCTGTGCTTTTGAAGTCTCTTCTTTTGTTTCGGAGGGAGTTGACCCCTCCACAATGCTCAATCACCCACTTTCCACATCCAGATGGAAATCCTGACTGCTTGCTTCACAACTTCCAATTTGAGAGTCTGCCTGAGTCTTGTTGAATGCCCTCTGGCATATCGGTTCTTTATTCCACTGTTGCATTCTGGGCCCTCCTGGCAGTCCTTCTGAACTATCACTCCTTTATGACCATGTCCCATATGCCGTGTAGGAACACCATGGCGATTCGTCTGTTTAAGGGCAGTGGCCAACTTCTTCTGGGGTCCACTATCACCCTGGGTCTGTTTCTTCAGCTGTCAGTGGTGCCCTACAGCTAGATACCAGTCCCCGCATTGGTCCTCTAATGCGCTGATAACTTCCCAATGTGGCCTCTTCCTTAGGGACTCCCTGATGCTCCACTAAGGCCTCCATTTCTTCTGGATTTGCCTCCAAATCTGTGGCCTTCACTGCTTCTTGACCAGTCTTACTTTTGGCTTACATTGATTCCTGGCCAGTCTCTATACTGGCCTCCTTCATTTCTTGACTGCCTTTGATTATCGCCATAAACTCCTAATGATGAGAGCCCATCCTGGCTTCCAGCCTTGTAATAATTTCCTCATAGCCGGCTTTCATCTCGGCCATCATTTGTTCTTGGTTGGTTTCCAATTCAGCTTTCATTTGGCCATCACTTGTTCTTGGCCGGCCAACAGGTCTTCCAGTATTTGCTCCATCATTTGTTCCATTTTTGTAATGTGACGATACAACAAAGTCACTCCGCTATGCATACTGTATACTGATACCTACATTTCAGATTATTTAATGCCTACACAGCATACACTGAAATTAAACAGTAGCATGATTAATCTTTAGAATATAACTGTGTATAAAATACAAATGAATAAACAGTATGCACCCCAAAATTTCTGAGAATCTATAACATTTTCTGGCTGTACAGAGTATAAGAGCCCTACACACAGGAAGGAACAACACTGAAGAAATATTGTCTCTACCCACAGCTACATTATGTAGCTATGGGTAGCTATGAGTAGCAGATATTATCAACTAATATTTCATTCCTAACGCTTAAGGCTATGCTTTGGTCTTTATCCCTTGTTTCAAAAATGGAATCTATTTTCATCTTGAAGTGTACAGGATATGATGACATACCTATTCTACTAGGTCCCTAAGTACACCTGTTCTCTAGCCTGGACCAGCACAAGGGACCAAAGTTGATTTTACAGAAAAATACATATGATGATAAAGTAAAAAAGAATAGCTTTAAATGAAATTTCACACCATCATTAAATAACTTTAAACTTCATTTCTTCATGAAGTTGGTACTTACTGATTGAATAACATTGACAACATCATTTCATTTGTCTCATCAGGTAGATTTGTCAGGAAAAGAATCTGGTTGGGGGGCTGTTCAGGTACCGTTGTAGATACATGTGATGCAGCTACAAGAAACAACGTAATCATAATAAAATTAACAGCCTGAGCCAAACAAAGTGCATGAAATGATAAGAAACAAATGCCGCAAGCATGTTCCATTTGTTCTTTCTTCTGGGCATTAATATATCATGCAAGCACTTTCTTATACTGTTGTCTACACTGGCTGGGGGGGGGGAAGACATNGGGGAAGACATCCAAATCTTTTGGTCTGTGCAAGCAACCCAACATCAAGTCCTACACCATTAGTGAGTTGTGATTTTAGGCCCCTTCCTTGGCAGTAACTCCCCATGGCTCCCCATTCTATGCCATGCAGCTGGATATACTGGTATGTCTACACATACCTACAGGGTTCTAGGGTTTTCTTTTTTATTGCTAGTGGGGTGGGACTAAGTCCCTTGTACTGTGGCCACATCTGGCCTATTGTACCAGTCCCAGATGATAGGTGAGGGTGATTGTGGAGCAATTGGTGGAATGAAGATGGCAGGGGAAACCGAAGTACTCGGAGAAAACCTGCCCCAGTGCCACTTTGTCCACCACAAATCCCACTTGACCAGACCTGGGATCGAACCTGGGCCGCTACAATGGGAAGCCAGCTACTAACTGCTTGAGCTATGGCGCGGCCCCTCTAGGGGGCTTACAACTAATTATATTGCAACTCTAAGTCAGCAGTAAAACATGGCAGCATTGCACAGCCAAACCAGTGGTCATATAACCTTTGTAGTGTCTATGCCTTCTGAGCCTTGAATAGGGCACTATGTGGGTGTATATGACTCTGCACATAGACTTCCATACAAACACAGTGAGAAGGGTCCAGTCAACCTTCATCTCTCGAGCTCCCAAATTCAAAAGGTGAAGTCATGCTGAAACCGTGGGACAGCATCAGATGTAAGAAAGATTCTTTCTGGTGAGACAAGTGTTTATAACTGCTAGGGACCTAAATAAACCTATAACAGAAGGAAAATTAGAATCTTGTTGTGTAGACAAACAGATATGCCAAAGCAGTATGATGATGTGATGATGAATATGGGGACTATATGGCAGGCATTGACCATGTAAAGAGGGCCAGTAATGAGGAAAAAAGATGATTACAGAATGGTACATATGGAAGAAAATGATAAATGGTAAAACTAAAGGAAAGGGAAACCTGCAAGCCCCTTTAGGATGTCTGCATCAGGCTGTGGAGCAGCCTTCCTTGATGGGCGCAACATTACCATATTCTGTAATCTCAGCAGGCAAGTCAACTGTGATTACTTCTTTGCTTACGCACTGACAATTATGAAAAATTCTTTCACAGTACTCACATATAATTTTTTTAATTTATGTTTAATGTTAGTGATTATGACTTCTCTTCAATATTAGTATGACATACAGGCATTCTTTTTATATTGTAAATAAATATATTCTGATAAGCCAATAATAATAATTAGATTTGTACACCTATACTATACAATGTGGGACAATCAGAGTAAAAGACCTTGCAAAATCAGTATATGTTCTAATTGTTTCTGGGTCTAGAACAATTAGAACCACAGCACTAGAAAATTTTTCACTGATTCACTCCTTTTGGGGTGGGTGGGTGGAGCAAAAATTACTAAGCTATCCGTGCAACAGAACCTCTTCTGGCAAATGCTACAGCTCATTTCCTTGCCTTAGAATAAAGGGCCATGTGAAAATGACTGAGTGCATTTACTGTTCTTGATCAAAAGATAACCTTACCTATCAGACACAAATTCTAAAATTAGTCAGCATTCTTATATTGATGATTGATGGTGCATTACAGTTTAAAAATATTTTGACAAAGAATGTGCCACAGTTTCTATTTCTCAGTTGACAATGGAAATGTTAAAGTTTNTATATATATTATATTATATATTATATACATATTATAATGTATTGTTTTGCTCCTGAATATGTTCTTTCTGTATTACTAGCATTAAGGATGTTTGGAAAAATCTCCTAAGATCCAGAAAATTTCAGTTTTTCACTAAACTTTAACTTTTCCTGTAAGTAACCTGTAGGTTACTGTAACCAGTAATAATTATTACTGGTATAAGTAGAGCTTTAAAATCAATGTATAGCAGTAGTTGCTACAGTAAAACTTTATTCACCGCTCAAAAGCCACTGAAAACAAAGTAATCTACTGCTGTTGGTTCATCATCACCATTACTACCTCCAACTTTTTAACATCTCATCAATGAAGAAACTGCAAATATATCTACACATTGTTTTGGGGATATCTGTGAGGTTAGCTCTCCACATAAAAGGAATCAATACTATTCAAACGTTATATCACACTTCTTTAAAGTGTCACAATCTGCTCACGTATCTCTATGTAAGCCCTTTACTTTCTTTTAACAGGACATGGGAGAAAATAGCTGGACAAGCAGTTCCACATACTAAAATCAATTTCAAGAAGTGGCAAAATTTAACAAAAGTCCATTAAAATATATGACTGTAGTAATTTCAACTTGCCAACTTATCTCAGGCCAGTGGACAATCATATTTTTCAAGCCCTAGATATAAGGATTACAAGTAATTAACACAATCATTAATGGTGCTGCTATATTTCCTTTTTATTGTGTAAAAATGTTACTACTACTGTAACTATCTTCCTATTCACACTCATGAGCAAAAATATGTGCATACAGAATTAAGTGATACAAATCGAATGAAGACAGAAAGACATAATATATGGTGTGTAAAGCTAGTAGCAAATACATAGGTAGGATAAAAAGTAGTGGCAACACCTCTATAGTTCTGAAATGACTTTATTACCTGAGGTAAACACACTTACATTCCTTCAATATAATTGTCCCCCCCCCATGTGTACCACCTTCTGCCAAATTTGTGGAAGGCGTCGTACACCATCAGTGCGTCCACTTCTGTTGATGTCCAGCAGTGACTGCCCTAGAGCACGAATAATCTCCTCTCTTGTGTTGTAACGTGTCCCTCGCAGTGGTTCTTTCATTTTGGCTAAGAGTCCATAATCGCACAGTCTCATATCAGGTGAGTACGGTGGATGTTGTAGTATCTTCCAGCACCAGCAGCGAAGGAGATCCTTGACAGCGTCAGCAGTATGAGCCCTTGCACTGTCATGAAGGATGATGGGGTTCATTGCTAACAAGTGTCGTTGCTTCTTCCCGAATGCTGGACAATGATGATTACGCAGGAAATTGCAGTAGTAGGCAGCGTTTACTGTCTGTTGTTGAAGTACAGTGTGGTGCAGTATCACTCCATCAATGTCATATGCCACAATGAACATCGCCTTCACATTACTCTGTGTATGGCACACTTTCTTTGGATGAGGAGAGCCATTTGACTGTCGCTTCAAGTGCAGTTCGTATGAGCGAGTCCAAGTTTCATCCAGAGTGACGATCCTTCCAAGGAAGTCGTCACCTTCCCTCTGGTATGGGTCCAACAAGTCCTGGGCAATTGCATAACGATGCCATTGTTGCACCTAGGACATAGTATGGGGTATCCAACACTCTGCAATTTTGCGGTATCCAACAATATCATGCAGAATGTGGAGCATGGTTTTGTAACATACGCCTACCTCAGCAGCTAACTCCCGCACAGCCCCTCGATGATCGACATCCAGCAAAGAAGCAAGATGCTGGATTGTGTGGTTGTCAACATGGAGTCATCCTGAACGTTTGCTGTCCTGAGTGGCATCCCTCCCTTCACGGAACAATTTCACTGATTGTGCCACTGTGCGATATGGCAAAGCAGCATCACCACATGCTTCTCGCAGTCCCTGGTAACAGTTTTGTGCACTACGACCTCGTGCAACTTCAATTTTTATCCAGAATCGTTGTTCTTGTTTTGTAAACATGTTGTTACGAGTGCTTGACCTGGGCTCCTGCACCTCAAGACGATGCACAATGCAACTCAATGAAACACAGCCAGAGACACTCACTGCACTACTTCAACTGAACAACTGCTATCAGCTACAGATGGCTCTAGTGCCACCTGATGCACATCTTTCATGTTACAGTAGTGCTGACACTACTTTTTATCCAACCCTTGTATCTGTCAGATCCACAGTTTCAGTCATTATTGGTTAAGTTTGCCCTGCATGATTCTTTCTCCTAGGTTAGGTGCCCTTTTTTCTGTGAGATTGAAACCAAGGATACATAAGAAGACCCAATGGGAGTTTTTAGTTGGTCAAGAATATGAGCAGTTGGAAGTCAGTTGCCAGTCAGCAAAGACAGGAGCCACTGAGTACAGTAGCAGTAAAGGGAAACTGTGCTGCTGAAAGCCACTATCAAACAATGGGGACATGAAGACACAGCAAAATGAGAAAACAGTGTGCTGAAGTGAATCATAAAGTGTGTAGACCAGGGAGGAAGCCACAATGTAGCAACAGCTAGTGAAAATGAACTGAGAAGATTTAGTGTGCATTGCAGAAAGAAGTGCATGAATTAGTAATAGTGTTGTAATTACTGGTAGTTATAATTTATGAGTTCAATAAATTCAATTAGCAATCAAAAGTCACTAACACATGACAAAATATATATATATATATATTTTATTTAAATTTCATTCAAATGCACACTTTTTATGCAAGTTAGAGTCCTGTCATATGGAATTTCATGTTCATTCAAACAATGCTGTGCTCTCCGTCAAATAATACTGACTCTGTGAGATTTGAGGCTCTCATAGTGGTGAAGAAGTGTACCATTCTCTGGGATGTGACATTATGCACTCTGGTAAAAGTTTACTGATGTTTTGGAGTAACATACTGCCTCCATCTTTAGTGAAGAAGATTAAATCAAGCAAGTTGCAAGCAGAGTAATCATCCACACTGAAGATGGAGCCAGTATGTTCCTCTGAAATGTCAGTAGTTTGCTTGGTTTGCCCTCAATCCCCAAAACCAAAGCTAGTATTTTCACCCAAAATGTCATAATGCCAAATCCCAGAATACAGTACCCTTAATACTGCCTCAACCAACGTAGGAAGCAAACCTGGGTCTCCACACAAGAGTACCATATACTACCATTATTATCCCCCAATACATATATATTTCATAAATTTACCTTGTTGCATAGCTGTGGCTTGTCCATAACCACCAACATGTGCAACTGGTTGTACCACAGGTGTAGCCCCTCCAGGATTCAGCTGACGAGCCTGTTCTTTGGCAGCCTTTCTTTTTGCCTTCTTTGTATCAACTGAGGCTTCTTCAACAGCAGGTGCCACTCTCTTTACTTTCTTTGGACGCTCAGAAAACGTCCCTTTCATCTTAGCAATTACATCTGAATCAGATTTTGAATACTGAATCCTCTGTAGAAATAAGAAAAATTTGACTTTAAGAACCTCCTGTAAAATCTACCACTGGATCCTATTTTGGGGTTGTTCCACCAACTTCACAACCTTACAATCCATTTCTCTATCAAAGATTTCGATATTCATACATTTCGTTTCAAATCTTCACTGGCAGAGTATTGGTATTATGTATTTTTGGCACATTAGCACCATGTTTCCATATTAGTCTGTCTCACAAGAGTCCCCTTACATGTTTTCCAGCGAAATTCATGCATTTCTAGTTCCCCTTGAGTGCTACATGTCATGTCCATTCCAGTTTCATATACAAGGGAAGTCCAATTTAAGGGACCTAAATCTTATCTTATGGTACATTTTTTTGTGGTCCCAACCAAAGCTCCATATACACCTAATGTACTATTTTTCACAATTTAAAAATTTACTCAAATTTTACATATAAAACTTCAATTCCTAAGCATGTTTCACTTAAGGATGAGGGGAATTTTCTTACATGTAACAACTCACATATGGTCAACCTCACACTGTTCAGGGTCATTAATGTACGGCATGTCACACATTGCAACTGACTGCCCATTCTTTGTTCATCCATTACTTTGGCAAAACATGCTCACTATGCATTCTCTATGTGCTAGTATGGGCACAGTCTTACTGCACTGACTCAAGACGCATAATTTTACAGAAAACCTGAGTACTTGAAGAGGAAGGCCAGTGTGGGGAACATCTTAATAAAAGAAAGAATATGAAGTTTTCATTTCATGCATCCTGTTGTGTTATTATATACAATTCTTTATTGGAGTCCATCGTAACACAACAACATAATGGTCAAGGTTAAAATTTTGTACCTTAGCTACATGTTTTGGCTTTTAAATTCATCATCACGCAAACACATGATTACTATATTCACACACTATTGAACTGCAATTGCGACAGTAAAGCTGGACTTTGGAGTCCATCGTAACACAACAACATAATGGTCAAGGTTAAAATTTTGTACCTTAGCTACATGTTTTGGCTTTTAAATTCATCATCACGCAAACACATGATTACTATATTCACACACTATTGAACTACAATTGTGACAGTAAAGCTGGACACTTGATAACTGTTACATTACACAACACATGGTATAAAAGTACAATGAATTATGAACTTATTATAAAATGAAATTATGGAGTAAAATATGGTTAAAAACTCTTCATGTGATATTACATACCATGAAGTCAGTTGTTGCAATCTTCTTAAACTGTTTGGCTGGTGCCTCATCTTACAATGTACTTTGTCCGTTCTGTTGGGAATACAGATTGCAACTCTATCAAAACTAAGTGAAGTGTATGTACTACCAGAAAACTCTTAAAACACAGGGTATACTAATGTTAGCATTCTTCGGTGTGCTAAACCTGTAATATTAGTAATTTAAGATATTCTTCCCAAAAGTGTACAAAAGTTATTGTCCTTCACAGCAGATATACAATTCATTAATAATATACTTACCATTGGTTTATCATAAAATGGAAATCCTTGCATAGACCGCAAAGCATTGGTAGCACTGCCAATTTCTTTAAATATTACAAATGCCTGGCCTCTCATTTTTAATGACTTCAAAGCTACAATATCCAGAATTTCACCAAACTGAGAGAAGATCGCATATAGAGATTTCTTCAGCTCTGAAACATTATGTATACAGAAAAACATTATTAAGAAATGTACTGAAATGTATTTCTATAACAGTATGATCCTTTACTTTCCACAGTTGCACTTTCTTATTTCACTTAGATCTCATTCATTCTGTGCACTCACAATACTACTACTGACAAGGCAAGTGGACACAGAATCATTAAATATATTAATTCATGACTTGGGGTGAGACTTGTGATATTACTTGTATAATGTAGAGGATAACAAAATGATATGACAGTGTTAAGGCAGTAATGCCATTACCTGATTTTATAGTGAAGGTGTAACAGAGAACCATCTCAAGAATCATCTAGAAACTGTCAAGAAGGAAACTCTTGGAAATAAAAATAACATTCTGGACATCTACACTGGTCCTGGCAAATACACATTTGCTCCATCTTTATACATCCATATACAAAATTATACCTGAATGCCATTCAAATACCATACATTATACCACATGTAAGATTTGAGGCTTTCACGGCGGTGACTATGAAGAAAGCAGTCTTCTGGGATTTGGCACCGTGTATATGTTGTGTTAACCTCCACATATACACGGTGCCAAATCCCAGAAGACTGCTTTCTTCATAGTCACCGCCGTGAAAGCCTCNCGTTCTTTGAATGAAATCATGCAGCGATCACGTGATGCGTGTTTCGTTGCAGGGGTGTCCAAAGTTCACTCTTCAGTCTGAATGCAGTTTAACGTGCGTCCGAATGCAGTGAGTACACTAAGTAACTGTGCGCTTTGTCCACTCCTTGCTGTCAGCTGTGGCGACTCGGGGCTTGCTTTGTTTACGCTGACTGTCTCGTCTCCGCAAATGGACTATACTTAATACATCACTGCACTGTTAAGCAACAATCATAGAAAGGTCAACAGTAACTTCTTCAGTATATCAGTGGTTCTGACATACTCAGCTTATCTGATATCACAGTATGCATAAATACACACATACATCCTACAGGAAAATTAATTCATATATAGACAGACCATGTGGGCTGTGAACATTTGAAACTTTGTGTACCTTGAATATTATTTTATGATTTATGAAGTAAAAATGCTACCATCAACGCAATTTCATTTCTGTAGTAGCAGAAACGATAGTGGAATAAATGCTAATTATGAAAATAAGTATTAAAAGCATTCACTATTAATGTAGTCCAATCTGAGGTTCCAGAGCTATCAGAGTTCACTTTAATTATAACATGCAATACTTTAGGACAATAGCATAAATTAAACTAAATGATACAATAAAAGCAGCATTCATGAACTTTTTAAGAGGAATATGTTTAATATGAACACTATGGAATACCAAATGAGTACCAGGAATCTTCTTGTGGGTATATGGGTAGCTGGTGCTTAAGGCTGACAACCTTACCACCATCTGTGAGCCAAATGTCTAGATATGTGGGAGCCTTGCCATCTCACAACCTTACAGGCCTCGACAGCCTGTTACAGGGATAGCTTTATATTATCTTATGTATATTTTGGTGTCCTAAGTCCCTATAATCCTGTCTGAGGAATTAAATACTGTGGAACCTGTGAAGTTGGCCACCTATATGAAACAGCCACCTGTCATAGTTGGCCACACTTCTATCGAACTGGTAAAGTGCATTATTTATACAGGAACAACCTTCAACTTGGGCCAAGTGTCTTATCTTGTATCTTGTTCACCTTCCTGGACATTATGCCACAGTTGTGTATTTTTTTTTTATTGCTAGTGGGGTGGGACTAAGTCCCTTGTACTGCAGCCACTTCTGGCTTGTATCTTATGCAGCATGGACCGGACTTACTACAAGTTATTCTCGAAAGACAGTAAGGTCCAGTTTACATCCACATGACCTATGAAGTACGGAAGTCTTCATGATACTGATGTCTACCATGTGAAGGAACAATTTCTTGGCCCATNAAAGCATAAACAAATTATAATTTTATTATTAACAAAATTGCTGTGTTGACTTAAAACCGATAATCTAATATCTGTTTGCTGCCACCATGCAGGGCCTCTTGTAGAAACTCCAGCTGAATCCAAGGATAAAGTAGTCAGAATCTAGCAAACAGACTTCTGGATACAAAATCTGAGTGGTGCTGAAAACACCTGTGTTTAAGCAGCAATGATATTCTGCCTGGACTCTATATCCCAGTGTAGAACACACAGGAATGTGTCTGCATCCTACTTAATAAGCTTCAATTGTTCATTACAATTTTAAGACATGGATCTCTTTCTAGGTCTTCAATAAGAAGTGACATTAGAAATGAGTAGCTTTCTGTGAAGAACTGTATCCTCAGATACTCTTTGTGCATAAGCTAAATGGGAGAGTTTCTTTCATTATCAAGTGTCCAGTTCATCACAGATTTGCTGGTTAGAACTCCAGAAAATGATGTCCAGACTTTGGATCATCTTTAAATGACTCTCTTCTCCGACAGAACTGACTGTTTCTGAAGTCTGTTTGGTTCTATGCAAACAAAGACAATCACAAATATCCTTGGAAATGTTACCTTTCATGAGAAATATAATCACTGACTGAGCTACTGAACAGACACTACATGGGTATACCATTGCAGCATGCACACATCAATACTTGCTACTTCCATCGAGAAGCAGGGAACTTGCTCCCACCTTCTTCATTTAATGCCTTGTAGTAACATGGTTATGACAAACCTTCTAACTCACTGATGAGTTTATGCTTTTGGTATGCATCATAATTATTACGAGTACTGTTTCCACTACAAAAATCAGCCTAGGTGTAAACTAATCTACAGTCAAAGTGCAGTATTTCTTTAATATCTTGTAATACAGGTATAGTAATTATACATAGTAATTTCACTAGTTTATGTTGCACATTACTAACTGCTCAGACAGAGGAGGGTAAAGCCATAACTTAACATGAAAATTTTCTGACAGCACACATCTTAGATTCTCTGCTGGTGGTAGATTTACAGGCGAGGTGACTATGCAGAATAATACAATCACTTATAAATAATAATTATATATTCCCTTTTGAAAGAACTCTCATAAAAAATAGTTATACCACAAGAATGTAGAGCTACACGAAAGCCAAAATGCAAGGTGTTTTCTCTAAACAATGTGTATCTTGCTTTCTAGGAGAGATATAACTTAAACAAGGGTTACCGAAACATTGAAGGTCACATTTAATTCCTTCTAACAAAATGACTGCACTCTGCAAATGATTCTCAACATGTGATGAACTTAAAATAAAATGACATAATGAATCCAATGACAAGTGAAAGAAAAGACTGACATAGAATGCCAAGAGGTGTTCTTACCTTCCTTTTTTATTTTCTCATTAAGATTATTCACATATATTGTATGGTTTGGGCGTATGTCCATCATTGTTTTACCCTCTGCACTTTCTGAAAACTGGACAACATGAAATTAATTCTAGGTAACAAAATGTAGTGTATACCAAAACAATGTTAGACATCACTACAAGAAGTCTGATATGCACCCATACTTTTCATACAATTTAAATGAGGCAAATGTAGGGTTAACATTAGATTTGTATTTGGCAGGTACCCAGTTTCAATCTTAACTCAGTTATCAGATGTCCTGATTGATTTTCATAGTCTTTGGTCTCTTCAAGCAAATGACAGGAGAGTATTTTCATATAGGCCATGGATACGTCATTTCAAATCCTTCCCCACACATTATTCATATTCATCCTCAATCCTCAGTTAATGCTGTATTTACTCCTACAGTTCAAATTTCCTAAAAACCTCTGACATATGAAATGACATAATTAATCTGCCAGCAAATAGCAGCAGGCACTGGAGACAGAGTTCTGAAAAATGTCGATAGAGGAGACCAAGATCAAAATCTTACCAAATAGATTACACAAAAAAGCTTACTGATGTAATTATGTGCGCCGCTCCTCAAAACCATATAATTTTGTATAAAATGTGGATTAATGTGGGAAAAGAAATATCCTGAGTAAGATCTGCATAATCGAAACACCATGGAACAGAAAAATAATGCAAAGAATGACTCAACCAGGACAGAAAAGGGTTATTTACAACATGGCTCAGTTCTGCAATGAAGAAAAGATGAACAAGGGAGGGAACCCAGTGCCCCCCCCAAATTTTCATTTGATGATTTTGAAAAATGTTTTATGTATAAAATGTTTAGGCTATGATGAATCAAAGATATTCACATTTCATGACATTTTTTCCTTTCTGCAAAATAATCAGATTTCAGGGGGGGGCTTTCCACAAAGAAGAGAAAGGGATGATGTTCAGTTTTAAAGAAATGTAAAAGCAAAAGATCTCTATTAAATGAAATACAAGATATCCTTGTTTGCTGTGCAACATACTTCAGAACTGTAAATACTGACATAGGGCTTAAGAGGCAGTCATATATACAGATGAAATTAAGGTTCACACCCTTTGCCTGTTTGTAGGCAATGGCCCAGTATGTTCCAACATGCAACAAGGGAACATGTGTCTCGGTGGACGAATGTTATAGCTCAGTGCCAGGAACATTCGGCGGGCCAATGAACTGACTGGCTAGGAATCATGTAACTTGTGTTTTCCATTTTGTCCATGCAGCACCTATATAACAAAGAACTGCTGTAGCTTGGATTAGTGCAGAATACTTATAGGAGAAGTGAATTCAGAAGCTAGGAGCACTTGGGAGTTGAGAACAGTTTCTAGTTGAGTTCCGAGGCTTCAGGGTGATTGAACAAGAAATAGCAAGAAGACTTCATAGTGATCTGAAGTGCTAGTTTCTGTGTTGAGATCCGCTGCTAGAAGACGACTAGTGGAAACTGAGAATCCTAGTCCGTGTGTGCAACAGTGAACCGGAGAGTGTGTAGAACACTGATAGCACTGTATTAATTGTAATAATAATAATAATAATAATTTTTATTTAACATTCATCACAGTTACAAACTGTAACTCTCAATCAAGTCACATACATATACAACTTTTCCAGTCTAACTGGCCTCCTGCCCAATCAATTGAACGTCATCATATATCACATAACATAACATTCAATTACAATTAAAATCACACTCTTGGTATAATTAAAATATATTAGGTACAATCAAATTTACGACTAGCTTCCGTTATAAAAAACAAGGTCATCTTACTATATATATCTTAATTACCACCGTCATATTCTTAAACTTAAAACCTATTATATCAAAATAATCCACAAAATATACAATTCAATTTAGATAATGATTAAATAATTTGGAGTGCAATCTCTTTTAAGACTTCCATTCCCTTTATAGGCTGAACTATATTAAAGACTTCACCTAATTACCAGTCATTTTATTCACACTTAAATCTATTTATCAAGGAGAATCTTATTTGTTTAACTGGCTTTCTGAGAGGAGCTCATGCAAATTATACAATGGGGATATCTTTTGAGTCTATGTAGGAATTCTCTATCTGCTTTTACCATTCTTAGTTCCAAAGGTTGTCTATTATAAATTAAGAGACTGTAAAAATAATGCCAATAAATCCAATCATTCGAATTAGAACCCATTAACTTTGTCACACGTACCTACATACATGTGACAATATAAAAAGTTAAAGCATAGTGCTTCTACATGGTTCAAACAGCAAAACAGAGTTCTTGGGTGCAATGAGAGATGTTTTCAACTGGTTCTGCACAAGATTTGGCAATAAACTTTCTTGTAAACAGAATGAACCTTCTGGTTTCACATATCAGTCATGAAATAAATATATTTCAGTGGTTTAGGAGTTAGTAATTATTTCTGTGTTTAAGACAATTCTTTCATCCTTTGTGCATTGTCCCAGGTAACACAGACACCATTACGCTGGCATATATGGCTGATTGGGTCCACTCCATAACACCTACTTTGTTGACCTGAGTCAACATGGTCATATGATTGGTTTTATTTATGTTTGATTTGAGGTTCCTGCAGCAGTAAGTACAAAAAGTATTATCTTCTCGGTTGTAATTCTGCCTTGTGCAGTCCAGTAGACATTCACTGACATTTTGGAGGAACACACTAACTCCCGTCTTCAGGGTCAAAGAGAAAGCCAACAAGTAACTTTCTTCTAATATTTTTTAGCATCAAGGCATTTTTTCTGGAGTTCTAGGGCTTTAATGATCATTTACTCAAGCCTTGGAAAACTGAGGAATATATTTTAAACACCACTGATTTCAGTGTTAATAACAGTTTTTTAAGTTTTAGTTCAATTACATGTTCTGATGTGTAATGGGAATATATTACCTCCCATACTCAATTTTTGTGGGAAAGGTTTTTGCCTGGGCATAATTAACTCCAAATCATATTCAACAAATGATCTACATTGTAAATACTTTATATACTAAACTTCTTAACACTTGTATTGACCATGGTTTAAGTCATTTTACCTATGGACCAACTAAGTAGGGTTTCTATCGTTACCCCGTTCATTTAAAGGATGAGACGATTTCTGAACGGCAGTGGGGGAAAAAAAAAAAAAAAGAGGGAGGTCAATGGTCAAACTCCAAATGAATAAACTTAAACAATGTGACACACAACTACAAAAATAAACTTGAAACTTAGGCCACAGAATTTTTGTTATGAAGACACCATCGTTAACTGCGACACTTGTGCTAGGTTAGAATTAGGTTATGAGCAAGTTCCTGCCGTTTTAAATCTTCGCTTTAAACATACAATATTATGTACGTGAACAATAATCGAATACACATCAATTACTTTTCATGCCCTATACATAAAAGCAGTAACCACATAATCACATTACTTCTTATATCTTACGGAGAGTCTGCCACCACAACCACACCGGTACCGAAGACGCCTAAGACTACACACAAAACGGTGGCCCACGTTCTAAAACTATGACAAGTACCAATAATTTTATAACAACTAGTTCAAAATAAATGTATGAGAAATATAATGCTTAACAACATATTACCTTGGCTCCAGGAATTTATATCTAAAACCACAATTTCTCAATTAACTCAAATTTCAACATGCAAAATACACTTTACCACCTACGCTAAGTGGTAGAAACAAGAGAACTCCAACCAGCTATATTCAATGCAGCCACCTATATTCAGACAAGACATAATACCGGCGATACCAACCATACTAACAATGCCCAGCACAGTCTACCGATGCCACCGGTTACTAACTACATTAGATTTTCATATCAGAGGTTATGAAGAGTTCTGTTTTCTGAGATATAACGTCGTGTACGTGGTCGTGTAGTAGCTCACTAAGAGTCAATGGCGTTTCGGAGGAACATGTCGCCTCAGTCTTCAGGGTCAAAGACTAAGCCAAGCATGAAACCGGCGAGAAGCTGGTATCTGGCTTATTCATCGTCCCTGAAGATGGAGGCAAGATGTTCCTCCGAGACGTCCATTGACTTTAAAGGGACAATACGTCTTTACATCTCAGAAGATAAAAATGTCAGTTGACTGGTAACATATTATTATTATTTCTCGTCACATAATGGAATAACCATTCGAAATGTACTTATTTTATTTTTCTCGCCGGTTAAGGCTAAATTATTATTATTTTTTTCTTTTCTTTTCTTGGAATTGTTACTAATTTATTGATATTGTATAGACTGTCATATTTTTTATTTTGCTCTTTAATTTTTGTGTATTTCTATGTACTCGTGCTAACTTTGTAATTGGCCGTTTGGACATAAACACGAATTGAATTATTATTATTATTATTATTATTATTATCGTTGTTGTTATTGAAAGAAGATACAGGTGGTGTTAGGCTGAGAAGCCCATCTTGCCGACAGCTACAGTTTTACAGTAAAACTTAAAAAGTTGTCCCTGCGCTTAACTAATTAAGCATGGATGTGGAAGTATAGATCCACATTTTCTTGACATTGGCACTAATTGGAGGTGAGTGGTCAGCTTCATGCCCCTGCTTCTTTACCCCCGGGGAAAGAGNGATATTGTATAGACTGTCATATTTTTTATTTTGCTCTTTAATTTTTGTGTATTTCTATGTACTCGTGCTAACTTTGTAATTGGCCGTTTGGACATAAACACGAATTGAATTATTATTATTATTATTATTATTATTATCGTTGTTGTTATTGAAAGAAGATACAGGTGGTGTTAGGCTGAGAAGCCCATCTTGCCGACAGCTACAATTTTACAGTAAAACTTAAAAAGTTGTCCCTGCGCTTAACTAATTAAGCATGGATGTGGAAGTATAGATCCACATTTTCTTGACATTGGCACTAATTGGAGGTGAGTGGTCAGCTTCATGCCCCTGCTTCTTTACCCCCGGGGAAAGAGCCCCCAGTCCCCATTGGATAGGAGGCTGGGTGGGCTCTAGAGCTGGTCTGGACAATGTGTAGAAAAGCAAATTCTTGATCCTACCAGGACCCAAATTTTGACCCCTCAGTCGTCCAGCCCATAGGTAGTCACTATACTGACTATGCTATCCTGGCTCTTTAATTATTCCTGTATAAATGTAACGTTTAATCTTTTAACTGTACTTAAAGTAACTATATACTAATTCTGTTTTAACGTATAAAGTCAGCATGTAGTGAACCCTGGTTGGGCTTATCATAATAATGACCTAATTATATTATTATATTGTTATATATATATAAAATACTGTTGATTTATTGCACTACAGGGATTACTGCTTCTGGTAACATACAACATAGAATGGCTTTGATACAATATGGTGGAAATATTTTATGTTTTATTAAGTCATAGATCATATGAACTCTAAATTCCTTGAATAATTTACACTGCCATAGAATGTGGTTTATAGTTTCTTTGGCTTCGCCATATTCACACGTTTCTGTATTAACAGTACTAAATGGAAGAAAGTACTCTTTTAGACAACAATGGACACTTCTTTTTTTATTGAGACTAGATTCTCCTCGAAACTTGAATCTCTGGAACCAAGGTTTTCTGTTGTTTTGGCAGTAGTTGTTATTATTATTATTTATTTCATCCATAGCTGTAGAGAATTACAATTGGACATGTCAGATATCAACAACCTCACATCAAAAATAACATAAGTAAAAGTGCTCCCTTCTTTTCTGTTTTCCTGATTTTCTGCACCATTCCTTGGCTGCTGCTCTCAGTTTGGTCTTCCAGTAGCTCTTCAAGTCTATGACAGGAATCAAGTATTGAACATCTTCACCTTTTTGAATACTCTCCTTTGCCAGTGTGTCTGCTATTTCAGTGATGACAATACCCATGTGTGCTGGGATCCATACAAAATTTAATATACTTTTTATGTTTCTTCAGTGTCAGTAGATTTTCTTTTATTTTGACGATTAATATTGAGCATCTTTTAATTAGCGATCTTTCGTTAAGGCACACAAGTACACTTCTAGAATTCATAATTCATAATTTATTTACATCCATAAACTGTTACACAAGTACAACTGGACAAGTCAGTTAAGCAATCTAAAACACAAGTCAACAACTCTTAAAAATGTACAAAATGATACACAAGACTAAAAACAGTATAATCATCACTAGGAACATCGTCCCCCTGCTGAGGCTAGCAACGGATGATGACATCCCCCAACAATCCAATATAAAGCAATGCATACACTTATACCATCTACATACAACCACACATCAGAACCAACCAAAGCCACATAACTACTGTCCATCATTGTTACTAAAAACTCCTGAAGAGAATAAAAAGTTTTGTAATAAATAACTTTTTAATTTATTTTTAAAAACTTTAAAATTTTCTATTCTTTTTAAATCAGGGGGCAGGCTGTTATGTATTTTAATTCCCATGTTAATTATGCTTATTTTGCAATGACCAGTATTGTATGTTTGTACATACCAATCCTGTTTTCCTTTACTGTTATGCTTGTGAATGTCAGAATAATCAGTTGTGTAGATCTTGTTCATTTTTAAAAAGCATATGTCATATATATTGTAGCGTGTTTTGTGTCTGTCACGCTACAAATAAGTCCACGTAGGCCTCAAATTCCGTAGAACATTTATTGTCCTTCACGC